CCCAAAATCCGTGGGACGCTCTGGTCAAGATGGTTCTAAAGCATTGGAGGTTTAACTTTCAGATTGGAATGCTATCTCAAATAAATAAAAAAAAACCAAACGAAATCTTTGTAACATACCCGAAAGCTGGATAGGTTGATTTTTGATGATATAAAACCAGAAGTCTCTGATGAGACTCTAGCTCTACTGGTCTGTACGTATAGCAAAGGAAAAGTAGCACTTGGATTTGAAACTTTGCAATATGGAACAATAAATAGAATTATGTATAGTAATATAGTCTATTTCTGTGCCAAGTTATATTGAAATCATACGAAAACTGTTGGAGGAGTAGCGTTTTGAAAGTATTTCACAGAAATTTCTATCCTTAGTAACAATGGCAACACCATTCACTGAAATCAAAAACTGATATGCATATTATGTATTGTAGTGTTTTCTAATTGTGTGCCATATTAGATTGATATCATACCAAAACTGTAAGAGGAGTACCGATTTAAAGGAATTTCACAGAAATTTCTATTTTCAATAACCATGACAACACAGTTCATCGAAATCAAAAACCGATGCACAAAATTATGTATCTTAGTGCAATCTACTTGTGTGCTAAATTATATTGAAATCAGACCAAAACTGTAGGAGGAGTAGCATTTTAAAGGAATTTCACAGAAATTTCTATTTTTAGCAACCATGGCAACACCGTTCATCAAAATAAAAAACGGATGTACTAAATTATGTATCTCAGTGTAGTCTACTTGGTTGCCAAGTTTTATTGAAATCAGACCAAAACCGTAGGAGGAGTAGCGTTTTGAAAAATTGTTTACAGACGGACAGCTAGACAGACAAACAGACAGACGGACGGACGGACGACGGACACCTTACTATCGCATAAGCTCTTCTAGTCTCTAACTAGTAGAGCTAAAAATCAACTAGTTATAAATAGATAATTATATCGAGTTTGCATCTCGTTATAACGAGTTAGCTATCTCGATATAACGAGTTAATTATCTTGTTATTACGAGTTAATTTTTCGTTATAACGAATTCGTCATGTCGTGATAACCAAGTTATATCGTTATAACGAGTACTTGTACGTTATCTCGTTATTAGTCCCCTACCGGTGAAACCGGAGGGGACTATAGGTTTCCTCTGAGTCTGTCCGTCCGTCTGCCTGTCTGTCCCTCTGTCTGCCTGTCCCTCTGTCTGTCAGTCTGTCCCACTTGGTTTTCCGCATTTTTTTCTAAACGCTTGCAGATATTGAGCTGATTTTTGGGGGGTTTTTTTGTTGTTTTTTTTTTGGTACATTTTTGGTATGTAAGTGTATATGGATGAGTTACAGATCAACTTTGAATTTCGTTCCGCTCCATTGATTTTTGAGGGAATTACGGCCTTTTTAATTTTGAGTGGTTTTCCGCACTTTTTTCAGATATTGAGCTGATTTTTGGTGTGTGAGTCTACCCTGATGAGTTAAAGATGAATGTTGCATTATTTTCCTCTTCAATTATTTTTTATGGAATTACAGCATTTTTAATTTTTCAATTGGAACCAGATTACACTTGCCGATAGGGGACCAGTATTGCTAATGCAATATTCTCAGAATGCTTGTTACGAATTGATTTTCCAATTATAACGAGGTGACTAACTCTCTTTATTGAGATATCAATTTCGTTGATGGAGAAAGGTAATCTACGAAAAGCCCTGTAGGGGCCAGTTGATTTCTCAAAAAAAAAGTAAAAATTAATCTGAGATTTCGAATTACACAATCCGTTCCCACAAATTATCAATTAGTTCCCTTGATTTACAATTCGAGATCTCGAATTACATAATCCGTTCCCACAGATTACCGATTCGTTCTATCGATTTGTAATTCGAGATCCCACTTATTATCACTCCGTTTTCTCGGATTTCAATTAGATGTTTTACGGCTTGGAAATCCATTCCCTCGTATCAACTCATGTGTTCTATTTTGTATCGACAGATTAACAATGTGGAGGACACGAGCACTCTTCAACAAGACCTGAACAAGCCATGCACAGGTATTGGAGTCTGACTGGATGATAAATTTAAACCCAGAAAAGTGATAAATTATGCGCATCACCAACAAGAGACGTATAATTAAGACCAACTATTCCGTGCACGACCAAACTTTGCAGATTACCACCGAGGCAAAGTACCTGTGCGTCGTCATCGATAACAAGCTTAAGGACATACGCAATGTAGTTTGAACTTTATTGTCTTTTTCCCTGGAGTTGAAGAGTTCCAATACTTAAGGGAACTGTGTGCTACATTTTAATGTCTATATATGTTGTTGTACACTTCTTCTAAAACAAGTTTTGATAAACAAAACATCTAGAATACATGCTTAGTAATTTTTGTATATTTTTCTTTGAATTATACAAGAATTTTCATCAATTGATACCTTTTCAAAACCCCTGGTAATGCATGCTGATTTTTTGTCTATGAATATTTGATAGCACTATTATCTTAAATTAAGAATATCTTGAAAAATTATCAGTAGGTAAGGTACGTTGCGTATGTTCTTAACTGGGGACTACGAGTAATATCGATGTTTTCATCAGCCGTAACCTCTCTGGCTGCTCACGGCAGCCAGTTATAAAACCCTAGTGAGGCCCTGGTCTTATACACCTCCAACGTATGACTACATACCAACAAGACTCATATTAATACATGTACAACGTAGGGCTGCACGAAATATCATTGGCGATTACATCAGGGAGAGCAGTGTTACATGAATGCTGCAATGACTCCATTTTGATACCCTGAAGTCCAGGCGGATAACATCTCGAGCCAGCATGATGTACATAGTTGTGAATGACCTTGTAAACATTCGATCGATTATTTATAGCCAACACCTAAGTACACTCGGGGATATGTATAGAGGTTTTTACAACCGTTCTATCATCTCAAATGCTACCAGGACTCCTTCTTCCTAGCCGGAGTAGTGACCTTGAATTCATTACCAGCATCCATGGTCACAGCTGATTCACTCAAAGATTTCAAGTACCTAATCTGCCCCTATTCATTTTATATAAAAAAAAAAATGATAATTTTATTCAAATTGTAACGAGGTCTTCATCCAGCATGTTTTTAAACTTTATACACGCCCAGCATTGGAAGAAGATGAAGTGTAGCACTGGTCTGGGATTCGGAAGAGACGTCAGTATAAAATGTTTAGTCTCTCTATTTCTTATGAATACAGCTACCGATAATGCATATGTATAGGAAACCTTTTAAATCTACCAATCAAACATTATGATTAAAATAAATAGATTGCAATACTCCAATACCCCATTAAAAATGCTATCGAGTACCGATCCTTAATTAATAAAAAATTTAAACTCTGTTACGTTTTCGGGTACCCGTCTATCATCCGTAACCTCTTATAATATTGAATAAAATTTTATTACTTTCACAAAATCTATCCTTGTATTACATATTATAGTGCCATTGTACACACCCTATTTTATTCTAATTTTCATCGTGCAAATATTTCACGTTTTCAATAGCAAAACATAGACACTGTCATTCTTTCTATAATATCAGGGTAACATATTTCTTATCTGCAATTCCACTTGTATTAACTGAATAAAATTTTACGACACTTTCACAGAATCTCTATCATATAGTCATATTTTGCACCTCCTACTTTATATCTTGACCAGACAGATATTTGGGATTTCTCTTAGCAGAAATGGACTCGTATGGAAGCAGGGGGTATCATTTTGTGAGTTAAGTGTCCACAGAATTAAAGATAAAATATTGCAGCAACTATTTACCTTTGATGAAAAGATTTTAAAAAATTAACTCATTTTGATTAATTACTATTGTACATTAAGAAAATTTAGAAAAAATAAAAATTCTTGCGTCTACATATTTATTTCACATACTCATGCCAAGTGAATGGAAACGAAAAATGTGTTAGATACAAACACTGACATATCTTCTTTTCTTCCCTCTAAAAATGCTGCTTGTTAATTGTTATTAAAATCGTAAGGAGTAGTAAGCTTCTCGTCTCATTTCTATTTTTATTTATTAGAAAATTTTGACAAAATGTTATGGCATGCTTTCTTGCATTATCAATTAATCAAATGACCTGTATATTATGAATATATATATATATATATATATATATATATCTTATTTTCAATGCGCTTTCTTCGCCCGGCACTACAAATGAAAGTCACGGATGGGACCTTAAATAACCGAGGTCCTGTGTCACGGTAGGCGTTTGCAATATAAAGAACTCCCACTGCTCAATGGCCCTGAGTGCCTAGTATAGGTCTAAATGTTAGACCTTTCACCGTTATAAAGTGACGTCTCTATATGATTGAAAATTTCTCGAATGGGACGTAAAACAACATTAAATCAATTAATCAAACAAATATATGACTCATGCATGGATTAGGCACTAATCACAGCAGACAACACTGTCTATTCCACATCCTTGAGCCGACTCGGCGTAAAACAACAACAATCAATCAATCCACATCCTTGACATCGCTTTCAAAGCTATTTACCCGTACTTTTAATGCCGATATTAAATCAATTATTGTCTGAAAATATGTTATTTATTTTCAATGTCACACAATCTTTTGTCGAGTGATGCTTTATTAATTTGCAGAGCAGGTAATTTATTTGATATATAGCATTATATAGCAGTAGTTTATTTGAAGAAGAGTCCATGAAGTGTTCTTAGAGAAATACACCTCTTTTTGCGGTGTATTTTGGATCATCCTTACAATAGGCTGGGTAAATATCAGAATGACTCCAATATGATATTCGCAGTTTCTGCAATTGATGTTGCCGACATGATTCCTTATGCACTATACATCAGTCTACACATACACAGAAATTATTGCCCTTAGAGAGAGGTAACCAAACAATATTTGATCCAGAGATTACTGAATACTACTCAATCCTCAATAATCAATGTACTGTGTATTTGCAAAACGGTTTATATATTTCAGAAAAAACCAACCAGATGCATTTTTGGATTGCTACATGTTTATAATTCTCTTAAAAACAAAATTGACTCCTGAATTGCATTTAAAACAATTTTTTACACAGATTACACACATATTTTCAGAAGCAATTCAAAACATTGCCATACTGCTCTACTCAAATTACGTTTACATTAAAGTAAAATTGATAAATATACAAATATGAAAAATGAAAAAAAAGGTAAAGACAACGAACAGAGATCGATCTCAAAAAAATCATGAACAAATTCGTGAACAGGGCATAAAAAACAGTCCCATAGAAAATTCAGAGGTTGGATCATATGCCTTGGATAAGTAAACATCCCCTGTTGACCGATTATTCCAGCTGAATTTTATTTTCAATTAAAGATAAAATAAAATTAATGAAATTCCAAAGCTTTTACCTCTGAACAGATTAACAAAGCTTCATTGCATATAGTTTTAGCAACTCTTCATAACATATATTATTCACTTCATATCACATCCAGATTTCACAAGTTGTTGACAAATTTTAAAACAGGACAAAAAAAATAAACTCAGATTTATATTTTCAAAGAATGGTTTCCAGGTTCACTCATGAATAGTATACATTGATGAATATTTCATGGGAGGTATATGTCACTTTAACAAACAAGAGGCCCAAGGGCCTTAACGGTCACCTGAGTATAATACAACAATTTAGAGGATCCATAGAGTATGAAATGAACTGAAAGGTGAAGCTTTGTTGCCCAAAAGCAAGAAAAATAGGGTGATCAGGATCAACAAAATAATAAGTCTAGTATTCATTAACAGTACATAAATTATGTTATCACTCTCACCAGACAGTATAAAAACAAACTATCAGTGCTTCTGTACTCTTTTAATTCCTTGTTGAAATTGTTGCATTGTTACATTGGCCTCTCTTGGTCTTCGATGAACATTTAATAAGACGTGTTATTTTTGTCTCATTTTTATTCATCTATTACTTACAAGTCTACCTGATCATTAAAACTATGAAAGTAATTTTTTTATTATACAATAAAAAATCTTGCATAATTCTCTTATTCTATTAACCTTTTAAGTACATTATTTACAGTGATTAATTATCACACGTAAATGGCAAAGGGGAATAATCCTCTCAGTGGAATACAAAATAATAGAACCCTGGCCTGGACGAGAACACTTGACCAAATGGTCCTGATCATGTTAAAAAATCTGGTAAAAATACCCTTCCTTATTGAAACTTTTACTCTTTTTGCCTCTGATATGCCTAGGTGCAGAGAAGATTTTTAAAGCATTTTCACTATATAATAAATAGAGCCCTGCTCTAACATCAGAACCTCTGATCCAGGGGTCATGAAATTCACAATTTTGGTAGAGTCACCCTTGCTTATCATAATCAAGTATTTGTTTAAGTAATAACCAAGAATAGAGAAGAAGATTTTCAAAGATATATTGCACTTTCACTATATGATCTATATAGCCCCGCCCTAGAACCAGAACCCCTGACCCTGAGGTCATGAATTTCACAATTTTGGTAGAGTCACTCTTGCTTATCATAACTATGTATTCAATTTGTTTCAATAATACCCAGGAGTAGAGAAAAAGATTTTCAAAGAAATAATGCACTTTCACTATATGATCTATATAGCCCTGCCCAAGCACCAGAACCTCTGACCCTGTAGCTATGAATTTCACAATTTTGGTAGAGTCACTCTTGCTTATCATAACTATGTATTCAATTTGTTTCAATAATACCCAGGAGTAGAGAAGAAGATTTTCAAAGAAATATTGCACTTTCACTATATGATCTATATAGCCCCGCCCTAACACCAGAACCTCTGACCCTGGGGCCATGAATTCCACAATTTGGGTAGAGTCACTCTTGCTTATCATAACTAGGTATTCATTTTGTTTCAATAATACCCAGGAGTAGAGAAGAAGATTTTCAAAGAAATAATGCACTTTCACTATATGATCTATATAGTCCCGCCCTAGCACCAGAACCCTGACCCTGTGGCCATGAATTTCACAATTGTGGTAGAGGGTTCAATGCTTATTACAATCATGCCAACAGTTTGACTGCGTGATGTCCAGGAGTAAAGAATAAGATTTTTAAATATTGCATTAATTTTGATGGTTTTGGCCCCACCTCTCAGGCCCCAGGGGGGCAGGGGCCACAATTTTCACAAATTTTGTTCCCCTTCATCCATAGATGCTATATGCCAAAATTGGTTGAAATTGGTTTGCTGGTTCCAGAGAAGAAGCTGAAAATGTTCAAAAGTTTACGAACGACGGACGACGACGGACGAAAAGAGATAGCAATAGGTCACCTGAGTGACTCAGGTGACCTAAAAACGATAACCAATGACGTGAAACATTTACTAGGTATAAGATTTCGTATAAATACCAAGATATGGACAACTGAACAACGGATACTTAAACAAGACGAAATATGAAAATAAAGAACAACTTTTATAAACAGTTATATACTCAGTACTTTATGTTATCGCATTTATGATATAGCTGTATTAAAATGACTTCATAGATTCATCTAAGCTCTATCTAAGGTTAATCAACGATTCTGATTTATTCTCAACTGTTGTCTCCTCGGTGAGTCTATACTATTATATCTTTAGCTTACAAGTATTTTGAGAAAGCAATATAAATAGTCTTGATCTTCACAAATACCGTTAACTTGTCCTAAAACACTCCCCAAATATTTCTGACGCTAATGCTTTAATTCTTGATGACGATTTTTGCATTTTTGCATTTAAATCCTCTAAAGCATAGCCATACTCAACTCTCTTATTTGCAGGCACATGTACACCATTCTCGTAATAACATTTAGGGACACCAGCGCTTACAATAAGAACTGTATATGCTCTCTGTTCCTTTATCATGAATCCAGGTGAACCTGAGGATCCGGGGGCAAATGTCGTGTTAAACAGTACCTTTTGTGGTGCCTCACGTAGCACGGAATAATAATCAATTCCTTCAGGAAGATTCTTTTTACTCCAGTCACTTAACTCTTTAATGCGTTTGTCTTCATAGTTGTCTGTTTTAATTATGTTAGGGTAAACTTGGCTGTCTTCTTTCATTTGCACGCCGCCGGTATGACCAATGAGGTGAATCTCTGAGGGATAACTCATTTTACCAAATGAAGTCAAAGGTGGAGCAAAGATTACGTCACGTTCTTGGTGTGTCTTCATTTCCAAAATAGCCACATCATATTCTTTATCTGTGTAGTGAAGAATTGGTTCAAAGTTGAATTTCATTCTTGGTTCATCATTCTGGGCCACTTTTGTCTTCCCAAACTGAATGCAAAATCTGTCACACTCAAAGGAATTTTCATCTGTATTACAAAGATATCTTTTAAAGCATGTATAGAGAGTATAAAGCTGAAATCATATTAAACAAATAGAATAAATGAGTTTTCCTTACTTGTATATCAGTAAAGCTATATTTGGATAATTATATGATGAATTTTTGTATTAAAATATTGTAATTTATTTTAAGATGCTTCAGTAAATCAATGCCTACTACTTTTTCCACAAAAGTCTTTGTGAAAAAGCTGTTTATGCTCTTAGATCCACAAAAAAAAATCAAAAAGAAATCATCAACAGAAATTGCACAGTATGGGCAACATAATCTTAGGGAAAATGAAAGTAGTAGTATGAAATATAAAGATATCGAACAGTAATCAAAGAAATTCATTAAATTGTAAAATTTTGTTTCTTTGAAGCTGTTCTGATTTTATTCGAGAATGTTTTCCCGTTAGGTTGGCATTTCTCGTCATGTGTACTTTACTACTTATGCTCATTTCCGTGAAAAACGATCCCTTTCATGAACATTCAACACTTATGACAAACCCATTTATCAGTGCAATGATGTTTGTACATTTTTCTAGAGGAAATCTACAAATAGATACTGGGAAGAATTCAAAAAGTATATAAAGTGGCACATATAAGGGCTTTCAATTTCTTTTTTTTTTCCTACAAGATTAGCTAATTGGAATAAAACAAAGGACTACAAACCTATGATAAACTTCTCAATAACATGCAGGCAAGTCATTATATATTTTTCCCCGACACGAAATCCTGTTCCCTCCGAAATTCCATCCCTGAGAATTAGCCCTACGCTTCTGCTGACATCTGCTTTAATAATGCTTGTCATTACATCTACTGAATGCACTCCTTTTGCAAATAGATACTCCGACTCTGTCCTTATTCTTTTGCTGTTCTGCAAGGCATGTATCAGAATGTAGCAAATAATATAACATTGAAAAAAGAAAAGATTTGGTTTATGTTAAAATATATCTTTTAGTGTATTAAACTGCCGGATTGATTATTTAAGAAATAAGATACAATTTTCTCGAAGGGCGTTATAGTAGATTTGATCACGTACCGACTTCATGTCATATCCCAATGAAACTCTAAAAAATAATATTTTATTTCTTATATTTATATTTCCTTTTTTTATTCGTGTTCAAGGAAAAATAGGCACTATTTAGACTTTGTTATGGAAATGCAACATAACATATCTACGACGAAATGTGACGTCACAATCTGAACTTTCCAAATGGCTCGTGCAGTTTGCTTTCCAAACGCAAATAAGTTTGATCAAGTGACCAACTGCATGTCATTGAAAACTGAATTTGAATTTAATTTGTATTGTCATACAAGGAAAGACATCAGCAAATTTAAATATATTCTGTTTAACATCCCATTCGAGAATTTCCCAATCATATAGAAACATCACCGTATGCCTGACAAGGGATTTAAAAGTTAGACCTATACTTGGTACTCAAAACCATTAAGCAATGAGGGCTATTTAACGTGCTAACACCTACCGTGAAAGAAAAACTCGGTTTTTAAGGTCTCATCCGAAAGACCCATGACTAAAAAGAATTTTTGTTTCACCGGGGGGGGGGGGGGAATGTTTTAAAAATATTTTCCGTTTTCCGTTGATTTCTATTGTAAAAAAAAAACAACAACAAAAAACAAGTTTTACCAAAATTATAGAGTTATCTCTCTTTGTGTTTCTGAATAAGTTACATATTGTGAAAATTCACATAAATATCAATATAAATATGTTTGTTTGTTTGTTCGTCCGTCTCGGGAATTTTTCACACGTATGGAGAAGCCACCACTTGCTGGTGGAGAGCTGCAAATTTCGACCTATACTCGGCACTCAGGGCCATTGAGCATGACGGATCTGTTTCATGCCAACATCTACTGCGACACGGGGTCTCAGTTTATACGGTGAAATATGTGGAGATAACGAACAGTATTCGAACTCAAAAGTCTATTAAACATGAAAAAATAGGAGCAGAGCAAACATGGACATCTAAGACATCAGAGGTGGGATCAGGTGCCATGGAGGAGTGACCATCCCCTGCCGAACCGTCACACCTGCCGTGTGTTCCTTTTCATGATCGAGAAATGACGGAAATATCGGTCGAAAATTCAGTTTGTAAATAATAAATAATTGCCTAACAATTAGTATGAAAAACATCAGTCAGCATTTGACATAATCATAGATTGTTTTTGCTGACAAGGTCATTGTATCGACCAAAGAACTTACGAAATGATGACTTTAAACGAGACTGCTGATATTCTTGTTTCATCAACTTGTTTGTCAATAACTTACCTCGTTTTAGAAATTGTATATACGTAGAGCATGCTCTTGCGTATCGAATCAACTGAGAAAATATAAACCCCTATTGCATGTGATAATGGTATATTGATGCATAAGTAAGGGAAGTTGACGATTGAAAAGTTGAAGTCATCAAGTTTATCATAAAACTTCGTTGTTAGATTACCATTAACGTCTTTTTCTAATAAAATATCCAAAATGAAACAGATGTGTCAGACTCTGTGGTTTCTTTTATGTGAAGCTCACCGGGATATATCGCGTCGACATAAAAATGGAAATAATGTCGGGCGCTTTGCGAAGAAACATTTACTACCTATGTTTATATCTTAAGTTTGACGCTGCATGGCGAAGGAGAATCGATCCCGGGTCTCCCGATCAGGAGGAACATGCCCTACCACCAGGTCCGTGATCGGTTTCGACTGCCAGATAATACTAGAAATAGCATCTTTAAAAAAAATAATCTGAAAAACTACGGGCCATAAATGTAAGAATTAAGTGAAAGCTTTGTTACACATGTTGGTAACCTGATGCCACATCTGGAATTTCCAGGGGTTGGTATTTTATGCCCTGTTCACAGATTTACATTTGTTTAGATCAATCACTGTTATTTTCATATATCTCACTTCATATATTGATGCATCATTATATGATGATTCTCTTAAAACCAGTAAGGCCATTCCACGTTTTTTTTCTATGTTTAGCGTTTGCGTGCGCCTAGGTTTTTGACTCCCAATATCAGCAAAAACAAACAAAATCAGGACTCCTGAAACTGATTATTGTGGTCAAAATCTTTGAATTCTGTCAATTTCTCTAAATATTTGTCTACATTGTGTCATTTAAGATAAATTTTAAGCATTAAATATCCTGATTTTGCTTAAGAATTATCTATCTATGAGAAAAATAGATTAATTAAATAAAATTTTTTGATTGACCTCATTTTTATGATTATAAATTCCTTGTTTTTTTTTTTTTTTTTTTTTTTTTTTTTTTTTTTTTTTTTTTTTGGGGGGGGGGGGGGGGGTTGCGAATAGGTAGGTAGGTTTTTGAAAGATGGGTGGATGCTAAACAGAGAAAAAAACTTGGAATGGCCTAATTTAAAATAAAACAACCGTTCCTATAGAGAGATATTTTGTGTCAGCAGTGCTTCGCAGGTGAGTTAAGGCAAGGTATAGGCATTTCTATGCAAATAATCTAATTAAAATGCCTAAGGACTATATTTTTTTTACAGAGAAAGTTAAAACTTATTGTCTAATACATACTTGGTATCCACAACATAATATAGCCAGTACACATTATGACGTCATATTATGACGTCATTGTTCTTTACTACACAAGATTGTAATGGATATCAACAAAACAGCTTCGGCGCAAGGGCATGCTCTATTTTATTTAACTGAAACAAGGTATATTTAGAAGCAAAATATTCCAAAGTTTGCTGGTATTGCTGCACAAATGTCAACAGCTCAGTTGTATAATTTCAATTTGTAAAGTTTTAAGTTGAATAAGGGTAAAAATGCACAGTCCGGCATAAGTTTCCTCAAATTCCGATCAAATGAGAAAATGCCTAGGATTTGTGCAGCAGTTTTATTAATCTATAGAATATTCCTCTTAGCATTATACAATTTTTATGTAAAAATAAATAGGGTAATCCCTTGCGCCGAAGCTGTTTTGTTGATGAGTTTTATTACATCCAGTAGGTAAGATCAGTGACGTCATAATATGACGTCATAATGTGTACTGGCTATAACATATCGTGGGTACTAAGTATGCATAAGAAAATAAATCAACATTTCTCTGAATAATAAATATACTTCTTATGCTTTTTTTATTAGCTCATTTGCATAGAAACGCCTATACCTAGCCTTAACTCACATGTGTTCCAATTTATTTTAAAAATTGATGTACAATCAATGTATTTCTTTACATGTAATTTGTATAACCACCACATAATAAATGTTATCCGATTAAGGCAGAGCAAATTCAAAGTTCTACTTACGAAGAAATAGGGAAAAGATTCTTTTAAAATCTTGATTAAGAGCATGATTAGTCAGACAGATTTGGAAGCATTCTCAGGTAGGATTAAACAAAGTGCCCATACTATATCCATACTAGATAAAGGACGTTACTAAGACAAAGGAGTTATTGATGGGTTGTGATGGTCACCATGCTCATTCTGGGAAAGGATATCCTTATCCACCCAACCTATTTCCGATATTTGTCCATTTCTGACAAATTAACTGTTCTTGTTATAAAAAATATCTTGCATGGTAAAAATATAAGACTCGGAAAATATTTAATCGTCTGTGAACAGAACGCTACGGACTGTCTAGATCACGTGGTTCGCGCATGGACAGAACGGTTACAGATGTGTTTTTAAATTAGAGATGACCACTTTAAAAATAATGAACACTGACACCTTACTTTATTTTTTTATGGAAGCAATTCAATTATTTTGCGAACTTTTTGATCACGCCTCGTATAAAACAATAATTTCAACTTGCTTGCATAAATATTTGATCTCTGACATTGTTTCAACCTAATTTAAACAAAATTTTATGTTTTGGCGTTATTCCGTTCGAATGGCCGACGTCGCTTTTTCCGTCATTTTTTGAAACTTTTTTTTTCTTGCGAATTTTTTACCTTATATTTTCACTGGATGTATAATAAACGATAGTAGAAACTGATGACAGCTGCTTCATTTCCAACACATTTATTTTCTATTAAGCTTTGACTTCTTTTTAAAAGAAAATATTTTTTTAATAACATTTTAATCAGAACACACTACATATGGGCCGTACACACTATCTACGAGCTGTTTAAATCCTGAATTTTTACAAAATGTTTAAGTTCAAACAATAAAAAACAAACTATTCTGATTTGAATTTTCGTAACAATTATTTTGATATACAATAAGTATATCTAGAACTATTTATTGTGGCAAAAACGTCATTGTCCACAAATTTTATAGACAACCCTCGTTAATAAGCCTCCTATATCACATTTCTTTTTTCTTTGTGTTGCAATCACAACATATAAATAATTAAATTACATCACATATGTACTTGTAAAACAATCTTCATTCCCAAATTGAGAAAATGAGATATACCTTTTCCCAGTAGTGGACTCCTATATCATGTTTTTCCTCACAAGAAAAGCACAGAATGTTGTCATCTGTTGTACTAGATGCTGATGCACGACCATCAAGATTTCCTACAGACGACCCTGAATTCTTGGAACAAACATTCTGAAAAAATAATTCTTCATTGGAGGAAGAACAATTCTTTACCAGTATCGATATATCATCATTAAGAAGGAGCTTTGTAAATCATGTCTATATACACTGCATACAATATTTGTTCACCTATAGTCAGTCAAAAGTCAATCAATAGAAATGAGAGGGATTTATATTATGCTAGTTGTTTCCTCGATATTATAAACATATAAATACAATACTATTTGCCTTTTAGTGGATCTTTTCACAAAAAATCTTACGATATATTCTTATTTTAAGTGAAAACTTACTATAAAAATCGTTTTCACAAAATTCTAAAGAAAGTCGCAAGTGCAAAATATATCGTAACTTTACATGTACGAGAGTCCCATTCCTCTCTTAAGGACAGATGAAACAAACACATTTTTGTCAAGAAATTTCAAAATAACAACTTGAATCATGTTTGCGTAAGTAAAATGAAAAAGTTTAACCGTATAGTTTCTAATTTTTCAATCAAAGTTTCACAAAAATGAGATTTGAAGTGACAAAAATTTATATAAATTATGAAGGATGGTTGCTGAAAGGTATAATTTTAAACATCATAGAAGGTTTACAATTTCTTAATATTTAAGAGATTTATTATTCGCATCATTAACAACAGAAATAGGCCCAAAAATATATACCAATCCAGACATCCATTTTTTTTCGTTTATATCACCTGTCCTTAAGTAAAATAGAACTTTTAAAAGTAACTTCCAAAACTATTTTATATTTTTTTTCACGATCATTTTCGAAAAAAGAAATGAAATACGTTACAAAATATTTACAATGTAAGTTTCACTTAAGATTTTCGTATGAACTACTTTTACGTCAGACTTGTGATTGTGACGTCAAATTTCAAACTTCTTGCTTCACAATCGATTGCACTTGTTATTCGTTGTCAATAACCTTGTTTTGCTGACAAATGATGAAAACTGAGCTTTATTTTTATTTTCATCCACTAATATAAGAAGTATAAAGCATATTGAGATCGTTGCTAACGACGAAGTCTATCGTAAGTAAAATCTTATGTTCAATTAATTTGCTACGAATGCGTTCGTGAAAAGCACTTATGATTTGTTGTAAGAGATACTAAAGTTAAAATCTTACGTAAAAAGTTAGAATTTTTATAAAAAGGACTACAGATATCAAATGAAAACGTTGCGAAGACATATTACCAAGTCCAAACGAGAGACTGACACAAATTATCTATTTGAAATAATTCGGTTTAGAAACAACAACAAAAATGTACACACCTCTTTCCAGAAACTGAGTGTCCAATGTGCATCTATTTCATGTTTATCCACAATTGGACAGTTGCATTGAACTCCAGACAGTTCCTTTTCTGGAATAAATGTTAGATCTTCTATACTACAGAAACGATTTAGACATTTGTAGCCTTTTAGGAAGGTTTTCCTTTCATCAAATGTCTTCGTCAATTCTGTTAAGGCAATTTCAATTGTTTTTCCAATTTCACAGGAAACTTTGGGATTCAGATTCTTGATTCGTAAGACTTGAATCTGTATGTCGTTATCGATGATACCAACGATAACTGTGTGATTTTGGGTTTCAAAAATTGCTGCTGTGTGATACAGACATTGACTTTTGTCTTTATCCAACTGCACTTTCCACTTGAGGGAACTCATGCAATATGCAATAAGCCTATAATACACGAACATGGCAAAGGATGTGAATCGAAAACCCAAAATGGACGACTTATCTAGGGTCTGTTCAAAGATGTCGTGTGTAAAAGGCTTATTGTTCATGCAGGGGACATACCAGGAGAATTCGCCTTCTATGCTGACTAACATCCGTAGTCTCTCCATATATGACATCAGTGCTGCCTTGTGTTCTAGGTATGACGATTCTTCTTTCCATAGAGCATCTATAAGAGAATCGCTCAGTTTTCCCGTGGCATTAAAATGGTTCCAATCTTTTATGTATCTTCGTTGACATTCTCTGTTGATGTGGGTCTTGTCGGCAATAAGTTTACTGAATGCATTGGAAAACCATTGTATGCCGAAAATTGCATGTGTTCTCAGTCCTTCCTCCATGAAAAATAATAACATTCCATTAGAATGGAAAAAGGACAGAAAATCATATATTTCTTCTTGACTCTTCAATTGGTATTCTTCGGGAAGTTTCTTATTCTCTTCGTTGATGTCACTGATTGACAAAATTGGCTTTTCTGCTTTTTGTAAGAGATGTTCAAGAAGAGCCCAAGCTGAGGGAACTTCTATCTTTGTGTCCATGCCTTGCGACACTACTTCAGCTATTGATTTTTTTAGACTTTGCAGAGTATGTACCCCTTCTTCATTCATCTCAATTAGTCCTAATGCAAAATCCCTGTCGTAAAGCCTGGTCTTATCTTCCTCTGGTACTAACGCCCAAAGACTCTCCCAAAAAGAGTCCTTTTCCTATTTTGAAAATATTATTATAATTATTAAGTGTACAAAAAAGTTAAATAAAAGGAGTCACAAATGTGTTCACCATTAAATTGCATTATTGTGATTTAAACGGTTTAAGGAATAGAATTAAGCAAATTATTAATCTCCCACTTCAACATTGAAAAATAATAGCATAAAAAAGAGGCCATTAATCGAGTAATTATTAGTGCAATATATTGAAGCTTTATTATAGTCTACTGATTAGGAATCTTTTCAACAAATTCTATCAATACCTCTCCTGTCTTGCCTTCTGTATGCGTAGCCACAGTAAGAACTTGTGCAGAAGTTCCACTAAACGATTTTATGGAGTCAAGCCAGAAGTAAAGATAATCTAGGAACAAAGTATAGTAAGTAATATCAATAATTCACATAAATCAAGTATTAACAAACACATACACATTAATAGGGCATACAAGAGATCAATGGACAATAGTAATCACCTAAATTAAAAGCACCTGAATCAAAACTAAATCCCTTTTGTGAACCTTCATTTTAATTCTTGGAATGCAAAGTATAATTAAAGAATGATGATTGCTACCCAAGTTATACTGTATAACGTTGGGTAATGATTTTTTTTCTTAATATTGTTTATTTTAAAAAAAACGGCTAACCAATTTCGATCAAGCTAATACAAGTATAACTTAAGTACTCATTGAATTCATGCCTTCTCGTTTTCAATAAGTTATATAGCATAAATAAATAAAACATTCTTCTCTTTAAAATGACTTGGATATGGTGCGAATTTTTCATGTATGAGTAACTTCAAGTGGATGGAACCGTTTTTAGTAAAATTGTGACGAATGTAAAGCAGATGACATAAATATACAAGAGGTCCAAGGGCCTTAACGGTCACCTGAGTATGATACAATAATTTAAAGGATGCATAGAGTATAAAATAAACTGAAAGGTGAAGCTTTGTTGCCCAAAAGCAAGAAAAATAGGGTGATCATGATCAACAAAATAATTGGTCTTAATATTCATTAACAGTTCATAAATTAGGTTCTAATCTGTTCCCCATTTATCACTATCACCATACAGTATATTAACAAATTATCAATGCTTCTGTACTATTTTAATCCCTTGTTGAAACCTCTTACATTGGCTTCTCTTGGTCTTTGATGAACATTTAATAAGACAAGTTATTTTTGTCTCATTTTTATTTATCTACTACTTACAAGTCTATCTGATCATTAAAACAATGAAAGTACTTTTTGTATTATACAATAAAAGTTTTTGCATAATTGTTTTATTCTATTTACCTTTCAAGTACATTATTTACAGTGATAAATTATCAAAAGTAAATGGCAAAGGGGAATAACTCCTCTCAGTAGAATACAAACTAATAGAGCCCAGGCCAGAACCAGAACACTTGACCAAATGGTTCAGATGTTCAAAAATCTGGTAAAAATTTCCCTTTTCTTATGAAAATTTTTACTCTATTTGCCTCATATATGCCCAGGTGCAGAGAAGATTTTTAAAGAAATAATGCATTTTTACTACAGATTCACTATATTATCAATAGAGCCCCCCCCCCCCCCCCCCGAAACACCAGAGCTTCTGACCCTGGGACCATATGTTTGCCCGTCATAACTAATTACTTTGTTTACCTGCTTAACACTAAGGAGCAAACAGGATTATTTAATAGAATTAATGCATTTTCACTATATTATCAAGAGCCCCACTCTCACACCAGCGCATCTGACCCAGGGGTCATGAAATTCACTACTCTGGAAGAAGCACTCTTGCGCATCATAACTATACACTTAGCTTCTTTGCTTTTTTAACCAGAAGCAGAAAAGAATATTTGCAAAGAAATTTTGCTTTTTCACTTTATAATCAATAGAAACCCCCCCCCCCCTTCACCAGAACCCTTAAATCTGCGGTCATAAAATTCACAATTTTGGAAGAGGCATCCTAGCGTATCATAATAATGTACATAGTCTGTTTAAACAATACCCAGGGGCAGAGAAGAAGATTTTCAAAGAAATTATTCACCTTCACTATAGGATCTATATAGCCCCGCCCTAGCACCAGAACTCCTGTCCCCGGGGCCATGAATTTCATAATTTTGGAAGAGGCATCCTTGCTTATCATAATAATGTACATAGTTTGTTTAAAAAATACCCAGGTGCAGAGAAAAAGATTTTTAAAGAATTAAAACATTTTCACTTTATAATCAATAGAGCCCCGCCCTAACACCAGAACCCCTGATCCAGGGGCCACGAATTTCACAATTCACAAGATGAAACACTTCCTTTAAGTTTGGCTTAATGGTGGCTTATAGGTCCTTAATGATGGTTTAATTGTTGTCTTTAAGTCACCATTAAGCACCTTTAAGCTACATTTAAGTAATAAATACACCACCATTAAGTTACCATTAAGCCATCTCAAAGTCCTTAATGGATGCTTAAAGGTAGCTTAATGGTGGCTTAATGGTGGCTTATAGGTGCTTAATGGTAGCTTCTAGACAATCATTAAGTCACCATTAAGCCACCATTAAGCCAGACTTATAGGTACTTAATGTCCAAACTCCATTAAGCTACCATTAAACCACCTTTAAGCCACCATTAAGTCACCATTACGCAGTCGATAAAACTGCTTTTATGGGTTAAATATTATTTTTATAATGATTTCTTCACAAAAATTACAAATATCGAGTTTATACATTTGTTAATTCAGCGAAAATAATGTAAAGGAAAGAAAATTAAAAAATAATAAATAAATGAAAAAAAAAGCGTTCCCAACAGGATTCGATCCCATGACCTTAAGATTGGAGGGCGAACGCTTTAACAACTGAGCTATCAAGGCTGTCGAAATTGAAATGAAATATAAAACCTTTATTTTTAACAAAACTTGTTTGGAATGGTTACAGGTACCTGTATATGTTTTTTTTTTCTGATGTCTATATTTATTAATCAATAATACGAATAATTATATTTATTTATATGTATATATTTTAAAAAAGAAATTTTGATAAAGTTTTATATTACGTTAATATTTCTTAACCGTGGACCGGAGTTCGGTGTGATCGTGTGAAACAACTTTTTGATTTTAAGTAACTGAATTCCTCGTTCTGTTATTCGCAGATTTATAAGCATGAAAAGACTGAAATTCAACAGATATAACAAATTTTTTTATTAAAAAGGAATATATCATCGAAAGAGAACGATTGGGAAAAAAACAGATTATAGTTCTTATAAATATGCTGCGGATATTTACTGTTTTTGACAATCTTTGCATAACAATTAAATAAGTTATAAAATATTTTTGTAACATATCATCTTCAGTTTTAATTCTTTTTATATCATTATGAGTATCAAAATAATTGTCTTTTTGTGTACAATTATAATTTCTAATTTGTTATATGCTTGTGTAAATTTTAAGTTTTGTAAAAAAAAAAAAAAATAGATCATCAAAATCTGTCACTGTACATTCCCGTGTATAGTTTCCTGTTAATTGACCGGGGGGGGACTGGTGGGGACACCTAATTAAGGTCTATTGTCTAACTAATCGATATACTGTACACTGATTATTTTACCCCGCTTCTCAATGTGTATAAATCTGGTCAGATACCCTGTTTAATCTGATCGGCTGTTCTTTTGAAAATTGATTTTGAAATAACAAACATTGAAGATTGACTATATTTTGATTAGTTCTTACTTCTGCATTATTTTTAATAAATTCTTACTTCTGCATTATTTTTAATAAATTCTTACTTCTGCAGTATTTTAAAAGAAAGGAAAAAATAATGGCACTTAACCACGAATTAATTCAAATTATTCATGAATTAATTCAAAGATTGGCAATATAATCTATACCTATATATTTTTTTATATCTTAAACATTTCTCTACCCAAAGAACAATTAAGAGACTTAGAGATATTCCAGAAGAAAATGACTCTAATCACATTTCCTATCAATTCGGCAGTGGAACGTGGCTCTCCAAACACGAAAGAAAAATATGTGATTTTTTTAAATTAATATATATTATGTATTTATGGATAAAAATAATTTTAAAACAAGTATTCAAACAAACTGATTTTAGGGAGCGAAAATTTTAAGGCATTTGGTGAAGCTGTTCTCAGTTCCCGAGTTTATACGCATTGTCAAAGATGTTAGAAATAGCAAGAAAAATTATGAATTGAATAAGTATTTGCGTAAATGATACTGAAACAACTTCAAACTTAACAAGTTAGTTTAAAGACTTGATACTGGATGCGTTAAGGTGGTTTAATTAAGTTTGGGCATTAAGTAACCATTAAGTTGCAGCTTAAAGGTGGCTTAATGGTAGCTTAATGAAGTTTGGACATTAAGCACCTAGAAGCTGCAGCTTAATGGTGGCTTAATGGTGGCTTAAAGGAATTAACTTCTATAAGCCACCATTAAGCTACCATTAAGCCACCATTAAGCGATTGCTTAAAGATGGTCTTTCGTCCTGTGATTTTGGAAGAGGCATCCTTGATTATCATAACTATGTATTTAATGTGTTTCAATAATACCCAGGAGTAGAGAAGAAGATTTTCAAAGAATTAATGCATTTTCACTATATAATCAATAGAGCCCCACCCTAACACCAGAACCCCTGACCCAGGGGCCATGAAATTCACAATTTTGGAAGAGGCACTCTTGCTCATCATAAATATGTACTTAGTTAGTTTATCTAATACCCAGGAGCAGAGGAGAAGATTTTCAATGAATTAATGCATTTTCACTACATAATAAATAGAGCCCCACCCTAACATCAGAACCCCTGCCCCTGGGGCCATGAAACTCACAATTTTGGAAGAGGCATCCTTGCATATCATAACAATGTACATAGTTTGTTTATTTATTACCCAGGTGCAGAGAAGAAGATTTTCAAAGATATAATGCATTTTCACTATATAATCCATAGAGACCCGCCCTAACACAAGAATCCCAGACCCTGGGGCCATGAATTTCATAATTTTGGTAGAGGACTCAATGCTATTACAATGATGCCAACAGTTTGACTGCTTGATGTCCAGGAGTAAAGAAGAAGATTTTTAAAGATTGCATTAATTTTGGTGGTTTTAGCCCCACCCCTCAGGCCCCAGGGGGGCAGGGACCAAGAAATTTTTGATCCCCTTTACCCATAGATGCTATATGCCAAATTTGGTTGAGATTGGTTGAGCGGTTTCAGAGAAGAAGCTAAAAATGTTCAAATGTTAACGCACATCGCACGACGCACGCCGACGGACAAAACGGATAGCAATAGGTCACCTAAAAAGGTGGAGATAACAAACAGAGATCGATCTTAGAATTCTTTAGGTAAATACAACTTTGTTAACAGGGCATTGGGCACGGAACTGGAACCTTAAGATGCCTAGGGGAATCCCTGTTGTGCGGTCACACCCGCCGTGAGCACTATGTGTAGATCAGGTAGACAGAGTTGTAAAGTTGACCATGTTAAACTTGAAGTCATATCGTTTATCATGCAATTTATTTGTGAGTTGAACATATAGTGTATTTTCAGTAAAACATCTAAATAAGAAACAGATTAGAAAGACTTTGTGATAATTTTCAATTCAAGTCTCTTAAATATGGATATGTATTATCCCGCTTGTGCGTAAGTATGTAAGAGAAACTGTAACTTGTATTTGCTGAGATGTACATTACAGAAATTGTGCTCTTTTTTCGCGGTGGTGCCCGCTTTGCGGTGCCTTCATTGTTCTTTAAGAAAGTTAATCTTTCCATAAAATCTTTGAATCCTATCTAGCCGAGCGCAGCAGTGTTATGCTTCGAAGGAACTTGAATCTTGACAAGCATGTCATGCTTGCAAATTAAACAAGAGGCCCAAGGGCCTTAACGGTCACCTGATTATAATACAACAATTTAGAAGTTAAATACACTGAAGCATTGTTGCCCTTAAGCAAGAGAAGTAGGAAGATCAGGATCATCAAAATAATTAGTCTAGTATTCAGTATCAACTCATAAATTAAGTTCTAATCTGTCCCCCACTTAACACTATCACCATGCAGACTATTAACAAACTATTAGTGCTTCTGTACTATTTTTAAACCCATATTAAGACCTCTAGCATTGACGTCTCTTATGGTCTTTGAAGAACTTTTAATAAGTTATTTTTGTCTCATTTTTATTTATCTATTATTTACAGGTCTACCTGATAATTAAAACTAAGAAAGTACTTTTTGAATTATACGATAAACATTCTTGCATAATTATCTTATTCTATTAACCTTTCAAATACATTATTTACAGTGATTAATTATCAAAGGTGAATGAAAAAAGGAGAATAACTTCTCTCAGTAGAATACAAGTTAATAGAGCCCTGCCCAGGACCAGAATGCTTAGACGAATGGTCCAGATGTTTAAAAATCTGGTAGAAATACGCTTACTCATATCATTTAAACTTTTACTCAGTTTGTTTCCGATATGCCCAGAAGCAGAGAAGAATTTCACAGGCACAATGCATTTTCACTACAGATTCAACAAAGCCTTACCTAACACCAGAACCCAAGACCAACGGTCAAGAAATTTACAAATTTGGAAGAGTTACCCTCATCATCATAACTATGGACTTCAAAGAATTAACACTTTTCCACTATATTATCAAAATCCCCCCCCCCCCATTATGCTAGAAGCCCTGACCCTAGGACCACAAGATTTACAAATTCTGTTCGAAGTTCCCATTTTCATCATAGCTAAGCAATTTATTTATCAGCTCAACACTAAGGAGCAGACAGGATTAATTAATGATTAATCAATAGAATTAATGCTTTTCCACTATATAATCAATAGAGCCCCAACCCTCCTCCAGAAACCCAAAAACTGAGGCCATATATTTAAAAATTTTGGAAGAGGCATCCTTGTCTATCATAATCAAGCACTTAGTTTGTTTAAATAATCTCCAGTAGCAGAGAAGAAGATTTTCAAAGAATTAATGCATTTTCACTATATAATCAATAGAGCCCCGCCCTAACACCAGAACCCCTGACCCAGGGGCCATGAAATTCACAATTTTTGAAAAGGCATCCTTATGCATCATAACCATGCACTTAGTTTGTTTAAATAATACCCAGGAGCAGAGAAGAAGACTTTCAAAGAATTAAAGCATTTTCACTATATAATCAATGGAGCCCCGTCCTAACACCAGAACCCCTGACCCAGGGGTCATGGCTTTCACAATTCTTGAAGAGGCCCACCTCCTCATCATAACTATGTACTTAGTTTATCACCTTAATGCCCAGGAGCAGAGGAGAAGATTTTCAAAGAATTAATACATTTTCACTATATAGTTGATAGAGCCCCGCCCTAACACCAGAACCCCTGATCCTGGGGCCATGAAATTCACAATTTTGGAATAGGTACTCTTGCTCATCATAACTATGTACTTAGTTACTTTATTTAATACCCAGGAGCAAAGAAGAAGATTTTCAAAGAATTAATGCATTTTCACTATATAATCTATAGAGCCCCGCCCTAACACCAGAACCCCTGACCCTGGGGCCATGAACTTCACAATTTTTGAAAAGGCATCCTTATGCATCATAACTATGTACTTAGTTACTTTATTTAATACCCAGGAGCAGAGAAGAAGATTTTCAAAGAATTAATGCATTTTCACTATATAATCAATAGAGCCCCGCCTTAAAACCAGAACCCCTGACTCTCGGGCCATGAATTTCACAATTTTGGAAGAGGCACTCTTGCTCATCATAACTATGTACTTAGTAACTTTATTTAATACCCAGGAGCAGAGGAGAAGATTTTCAAAGAAATAATGCACTTTCACTATATGATCTATATAGCCCAACCGTGGGGCCAGAACCCCTGACCCTGGGGCCATGAATTTCACAATTTTGGTAGAGGGCTCAATGCTTATTACAATGATGCCAACAGTTTGACTGCATGATGTCCAGGAGTAAAGAAGAAGATTTTTAAAGATTGCATTATTTTTGGTGGTTTTAGCCCCACCCCTCAAGCCCCGGGGGGGGGGGGGGGGGCAGGGACCATGAAATTCACAATTTTTGTTCCCCTTCACTCGTAGATGCTATATACCAAATTTGGTTGAAATTGGTTAAGCGGTTCTAGAGAAGAAGTTAAAAATGTTCAAAAGTTAACGGACGACGCACGACGACGGACAAAAAAGGATAGCAATAGGTTACCTGAGTGACTCAGGTGACCTAATGAAAAGAGTGGAGGTAACGAACAGTGATCGATTTCCAAAAAATACAAATCTGCGAAAAGGGCTTAAAACTGAACCCTTGAAATTTCAGAGGTTGGATTAGGTGCCTATGAGGAGTAAGCGTCCTTGTCGACCGGTCACTTCTGCCGTAAACCGTAAGTGTTGATAAGTTAGACGGAATATTTTTAACTGGTTTGTAGCCTGCTGTTTGTTGATAGAAGTTTTTATTTAAGCCCTGTCAAGCTTTTGAATCATGATAATAGATAATTACCAACTTTAATTGGGAATTGCATTCGATGAAATGCCAATTTTTACAACATTTTAAACTTTTTTTTCTATTACATCGTTTAACAACATACCCTGAAGAATGGTGGATCACACCAGAAACTGCAATAACACACGATAGAAATAGTTATAATGAACAACGGAAACATTTATAACACCCTCTCGATCATTCTCGCATGCTTTTATGCTTCAAATAGCTCGGGTTAGAGGTTTAATGAAGTTGGTTGCTGGGCAAAGGTAAACAACGGAGCATATGGGAAAACGCCATAAAATATCTGTGGATTATTTTTGAAATTTTTAATAATTTATTTTGATAAAATTTACATGACTTCTAGGAGGATTTTACCAAAATGTTTGCCAGGAAAGCCATTGAGTGTTATGTCAACCACTTCCTTTGGCATCAGTGACATAAAACTCCAGGGTTTTCCCGCCACCACCTTCGGATAAATATTCCGGTATGCCATCTTCGAAGTATCATATCACGGTTCTCCATCATATGTATTTTTTTTAATTGTTAAAAAATGCTGATCGGTTTTATAAATTTCATGTATGACCTTCTTTTATTCAAGAGAATAAAATGTCTACAGTTGAAGTATTTTGTAATCTTTTTTTATTGTATCCATACCTTTGTATGTCCACGTAGAGAAGATAGAACCCTCGCATTCAGTTGTTTCACCACTAACGACGTCCTGGAACGCTTTACTCATATCCATCACCAGAACGTAGAATGCTTCAGACCTCATGTAGATCTGATGACAAGCATAATAAGCAAATTGTCCAGCAAAATCAAACATACTGACACTTGTTTCATTTTCCCTGGCATCCAATATCTTTTCCATTACATCCCTTGCCAATTTTTGATCATTTCTTTCATTTTCTCCGGTATATAATATTTCACTTTTTGCATCCTCTGTTAGATCTTGATCAATTGTTTCATCCCGTGATTCATCTATTATATTTTTCTGTGGAGCCAGTGCACTAAATTCTTTTCCAGCATTCATATCAGCCTGAATGCTTTCCATACTAGCACTGTTTCCAGTTTCTCTCTCAATTTTGTTATGTGTTGAGTCATCATTGCTATTTTGTTCCTTCTGTTCAAGCTCAGACGCTGGAATTCTGATCAATGGTTTCTTAAAGGACTCATTTTCGGTAGCTGCAATATTGCACAAAAGAGGAGTCAGGGGGAAATCTTTTTTCTGTTTAGAGACTATTTTGTGTTGATGTTTTTGGCCCTGTTAAGCCTAAATCGAAACAATCAATTATTTTGTGAACAACATCGTTTTTGACCGAATTTTTAAACCTTGTTCTCTTAAAAATTCAATAAATACATGTATTTTGGTTTAAATTCTGAAAAAAAAACATTGAAAATAGCTTAGTTTGAGAGCTGAAGTGCCACCAAATACATGTGACGCCATTTCATCATAAACATCTTACAAAAATGCGGGTCGGAAGAGTCTATCATTGTGCAGTTTTTTTTATTAATATCCTAACACAAAAACACTTCAGTCTTTCGGCTTGCATGCGAAGACTACTCTAGATCACCATATTTTTTCACGACCTTATTTTTGCCAGATAAAGGGATAAAAATTTCAAGAATTCTGGCATTTGCTATATCAATACTATATTACTAAAATATATACTATACCTTAAAATAAATTGAAATCGTAAGTATATTACTCAATTTGTAATCAATGTAAACATTCTTAACCTTTTAACAAGAGGCCCAAGGGCCTTAACGGTCTCCTGAGTATGATACAACAATTTAAAGGATGCATAGAATATAAAATGAACTGAAAGGTGAAGCTTTGTGGCCGAAAAAGCAAGAAAAATAGGGTGATCATGATCAACAAAATAATTGGTCTTAATATTCATTAACAGTTCATAAATTAGGTTCTATAAATCTGTTCCCCATTTATCACTATCACCATACAGTATATTAACAAATTATCAATGCTTCTGTACTATTTTAATCCCTTGTTGAAATCTCTTACATTGGCTTCTCTTGCTGCTTGATGAAAATTTCATAAGACAAGTTATTTTTGTCTCATTTTTATTTATCTACTACTTACAAGTTTATCTGATCATTAAAACTTTGAAAGTACTTTTTGTATTATACAATAAAAGTTTCTGCATAATTGTTTTATTCTATTTACCTTTCAAGTACATTATTTACAGTGATAAATTATCAAAAGTAATGGCAAAGGGGAATAACTCCTCTCAGTAGAATACAAAATAATAGAGCCCTGGCCAGGACCAGAACGCTGGACCAAATGGTCCAGGTAAAAGTTCCCTTCCTTATTAAAACTTTTACTCTTTTTGGCTCTGATATGCCCAGGTGCAGAGAAAATTTTTAAAGAAATTATACATTTTACTACAGATTCACTATATTATCAATAGAGCCCCCCCCCCCCCCACCAGAGCTTCTGACCCTGGGACCATAAGTTTTCTCATCATAACTAAACACTCTGCATATCTGCTTAACACTTAGAAGGAAACAGGATTATTTAATAGAATTAATGAATTTTTACTATATTATCAAGAGCCCCACCCTCACACCAGCACATCTGACCCAGGGGTCATGAAATTCACTACTCTGGAAGAAGAACTCTTGCGCATCATAACTATACACTTAGCTTCTTTGCTTTTTAAACCAGAAGCAGAAAAGAATATTTTCAAAGAAATTTTGCTTTTTCACTTTATAATCAATAGAAGCCCCCCCCCCCCCCTCCCACCAGAACCCTTAAACCTGGGGTCATAAAATTCACAATTTTGGAAGAGACATCCTTGCATATCGTAACAATGTACTTAGTTTGTTTAAACAATACCCAGGGGCAGAGAAGAAGATTTTCAAAGAAATAATTCACCTTCACTATAGGATCCTACAGCCCCGTCCTAGCTCCAGAACTCCTGTCCCCGGGGCCATGAATCTCACAATTTTGGAAGAGGCATCATTGCTTATCATAACAATGTACATAGTTTGTTTAAATAATACCCAGGTGCAGAGAAAAAAGATTTTTAAAGAATTAAAATATTTTCACTTTATAATCCATACAGCCCCGCCCTAACACCAGAACCCTTGATCCAGGGGCCATGAATTTCACAATTTTGGAAGAGGCATCCTTGCTTATCATAACTAGGTTTTAATTTCTTTCACTAATACCCAGGAACAGAGAAGTAGATTTTCAAAGAATTAAGGCATTTTCACTATATAATCAATAGAGCCCCGCCCTAACACCAGAACCCCTGACCCTGGGGCCATGAAATTCAAAATTTTGGAAGAGGCATCCTTGATTATGATAACTATGTACTTAGTTACTTTATTTAATAACCAGGAGCAGAGAAGAAGATTTTCAAAGATATAATGCATTTTCAGTATATAATCAATAGAGCCCCGCCCTAACATAAGAACCCCTGACCCAGGGGCCATGAAATTCACAATTTTGAAAGAGGCACTCTTGCTCATCCTAACTATGTACTTAGTTACTTTATTTAATACCCAGGAGCAGAGAAAAAGACTTTCAATGAATTAATGCATTTTCACTATATAATCAATAGAGCCTCGCCCAAACACCAGAACCTCTGCCCCTGGGGCCATGAAATTCACAATTTTGGAAGAGGCACTCTTGCTCATCATAGCTATGTACTTAGTTACTGTAGTTAATACCCAGGAGCAGAGAAGAATATTTTCAAAGAAATAATGCACTTTAACTATATGATCTATATAGCCCAACCCTAGCACCAGAACCCCTGACCCTGCCTGGGGCCATGAATTTCACAATTTTGGTAGAGGGTTCAATGCTTATTACAATCATGCCAACAGTTTGACTGCTTGATGTCCAGGAGTGAAGAAGATTTTTAAGGATTGCATTAATTTTGGTGGTTTTAGCCCCACCCCTCAGGCCCCAGGGGGGCAGGGACCATGAAATTCAAAACTTTTGTTCCCCTTCACCCATAGATGCTATATGCCAAATTTGGCTGAAATTGGTTGAGTGGTTTCAGAGAAGAAGCTAAAAATGTTCACATGTTAACGCACATCGCACGACGCACGCCGACGGACAAAACGGATAGCAATAGGTCACCTGAGTGACTCAGGTGACCTAAAAAGCCAAGATAAATCAATTAAACGTTTGATTTGCATGTATTTTCCCTACTTAAGTTAACAACAGTGATTTCTATTCAACCATATTCCGTTTTCTTAAAATATTTTTTTTGAGGATTAAAGCCTTCTTCTCTCTATTACCATTGTTACAAAACTGAAAATGAAATCTGTGGAAATCTTTGAAAACGTTGCTAAGTTTTGGTCTGATTTTTATGAAACTTGGTACATTTGTATGCTACGCTAAGACGGTCACAGTAGCCTAGAGGTAGGGCGCTCTCTTTGTGGTCGGGAGGCCAGGGTTCGATTCTCGTTCGCCGCGCCGCGTCAAACCTAAGACGTAAACATATGTAGTGGCTGTTCCTTCTCCAAGCGCTCGGCACCAAAACTGAAAGGAACGGGTCTTTCGGATTAGACTTAGGTACCGTTTCACGGTGGGTGTTGGCACGATAAAAAAACCTCACTTCTCAATGGCCCTAAGTGCCAAGTAAGTGCCGGCATACGGTGACGTCTCAATGAGTGAAAAATTCTCAAATGGGATGGTAAACTGCAAACAATCAATCTTTTTTTTGGTTTTGTTTTGTTTTCAGTTTATAAAGATTTTTAGGGTGAGGTTTTTTTTTTATTTTTTATTTAAATTTTCAGATGTTGAGAAACCTATTTAGGATTATTGCTAATGTATTAACTACTTATTGCATTCATGGCTGGTAAAAGAAACAAAATTGTACCTGATAAATCTCCATTTCTCACAAAAAATATGTGTTCGTAGACATGAAGTCCTCTAGTTGATTTTATTTCCTTAATTTTATCAAGACTTTTCCCAATTAGTCGGTATAGAAGTGTCGTCTTCCCTGCTTCAGCACATCCAACCACGATCCCCCTTGCATGACGAACTGTGGTCATCCCATTTTTCATGTATGCCATAAATCTCTCAGGTGGAATATTTACAGTATCTGAAAAAGTGAACAACTTATCCTATCCGTTTAAAAACCTTTATCAAGAAATTAATAATTAATTGGACTTTGAAATTGTAATCTTTTCTTTCATATAAAGCATATTAAAAAAAATATGATAGATTTTTAGAAATAATTTAACAAAGAGGCCTTACTTTTCTTAGGCACCTAATCCCACCTCTGAGATTGGGTCTCTGTTTTAAACTCTGATCAAAGATTTGTATTGTTTGTCGATTTTAGGAGATAGGTTGCTGTTCGTTATCTTCACTTTTTTCATTATTAATTTATATTATATTCATAAACTACATAAAATCCTTACAAAGGTACATGGCCCTTTGCCCATTATTTTAATTGTATTTTAGAGGAACTGGAATAAAATTCTACAAGTAGCGATGGAACTTATACCCATAGCTCCCCTTTTAAGGAAGAAATTCTTCAAAAGCATACGTCAGTTTATAATATTTTTAATATTCTCAACAACCAAAATGAATTCGAACTACCATATCTATATAGGATTCCGAAACTTCATAAAAATCCTTATAAACAAAGATACATAGCGGGTTCCATTAAATGTTCTACTAAGCCTCTTTCTTTACTCCTCACTAAAATATTTACAGCAGTGAAGGAGAAACTTCAGGAGTACTGTGCAACAATATATTCGAGAAGTGGTGTAAATCAGATGTGGATACTTAAAAACTCCAAGGAACGTTTAGAAAATTTGAAATCACAAAATTTTACCAAAATCAATATCTAAATGTATGACTTTTCAACACTTTATACAACTATTCCCCACAACATGCTAAAGTCCAGGTTTTATGACATCTTAGAGAGCTGCTTTTTCAATAACAAATGGCCCACGGGCCTTATAGGTCACCTGAGTATCATGTTACAACTTTCCAACAATTAAATGTGGTTGGTGTTTGAAACCAGAGGCCATGAAATTCACAATTTTGAAAGAGGCACCATTGCTCATTTATACAGAATGTATGCTTCAAGTTTGCAGAGGCAGAGTAGGAGAAAAATGAAAAAATGCATTTCTATTAATCAGTAATAATAAGCAATAATTAGTAGTGCCCCACCACACAGGAACCCCTGAGCCCAGGGCCATACATTTCACAATTTTGTAAAAGGCACCCTTGCTCATCATAAATGTTTGATTAATACCAAGGAGCAGATTTCAAAGCATTAATTCATTTTCAGTATATAATCATTATAGCCCCCGCCCCACCCCAAGTATCCCTGACCTAGGGGCCTTGAAATTCACAATTCTTGAAGAAGGATCCTTGTTCATCATAACTAGATCATCAGTATGATACCCAGGAGCAGAGGAGAAGACTTTCAAAGAATTCATGCAGTATATAATCATTACAGCCCCGCCCTAAAACCAGAACCCCTGATCCAGGGGCATTGAAATTCACAATTTTGAAAGAAGCACTCTTCTTCATCATAACTATGTACAAAATTAATGTTTTTGATACCCAGGAGCAGAGGAAAAAATTTTCAAAGAATTTCTGCATTTTCACTATATAATCATTAGAGCTCCGCATAAACCAGAGCCCCTTTTTCCAGGGGCCATGAAATTCACAATTTTGGGAGAGGCATCCTTCCTCATCAGAACTATGAACATACTAGTAATTCAAGAAAACTTTCAAACAATGCATGCATTTTCACTATATAATCATTAGAGCCCTGCCCTAACACCAAAACACCTGACCTAGGGGCAATGAAATTCACAATTTTGGAAGAAGCAACCTTCCTCATCATAACTATGTGCAAAGTTCATTTGTTTAATACCCAGGAGCAGAGGAAAAGATTTTCAAAGAATTCATGTATTTTCACTATATAATCATTGAACCCAGCCCTCACATCAGAACCCCTGACCTAGGGGCAATGAAATTCACAATTTTGGGATCCTTCCTCATCATAAATATGTACATAGTTCTTAGGTTAAATACACAGAAGCAGAGGAGAAGATTTTCAAACAATTCATGCATTTTACTATATAATCATTTGAGCCCCGCCTTACACCAGAATCCCTGACCCAGGGGCCATGAAATTCACAAATTGGAAGAGGCATCCTTCCTCATCCTAACTTTGTACATAGTTCATTGGTTTAATACCCAGGAGCAGAAGAGAAGATTTTCAAACAATTCATGCATTTTACTATATAATCATTTGAGCCCCGCCCTAACGCCAGAATCCCTGACCCTGGGGCCATGAATTCCACAATTTAGGTAGAGGGTTCAATGCTTATTACAATCATGCCAACAGTTTGACTGCTTGATATCCAGGAGTAAAGAAGAAGATTTTATTAATTTTGACAGTTTTAGCCTCACCCCTCAGGCCCCAGGGGGGAGGGGACATGAATTGCACAATATTTATTCTCCTTCACCCATATATGCTATATGCCAATATTGGTTGAAAATTATTCAGTGCTTCCAGAGAAGAAGCTAAAAATTTTAAAAGTTTACGACCGATTTAAGAGGAACAAGGGCAGACGAAAACAGATAGCAAAAGGTCACATGAGTGACTCTGGTGACCTACAAATAGAACTAGTTTACTAAGTAAATTATTTACTTACCTTGTAATTGTTCATTTGCAAAGTTATTTTGTTAAAAAAGAATTTGATTGTAGTAATAGACGATATGTTTAATAAGACCAGAGTGGCTTCGGTAAAGGCAGGTTGCAACTGAACACCATATCTTATATTCAGTTTGTATTGCATCTAAAGTTAAAACATAATTGTGACGTAAACCTTTTGTTTGTGTTGTCCATTCTATAGCTTAATGTTGAGCTAACTCCACAAACAATCCATTAAGTTACCTGTAAGTGTCCATTCTTTTTGGAAAACTGTCCATTCTTTTGAGAATGGACAGTTTTTTCAAAAAGAATGGACAGTTAAAACAAACAGAATGGAGAGTTACAGGTAAACCTTGGAATGTGTTCAAGAGGGAAACAAAAATAAATACATTAAATACTTTTTAATTTACATGTGAATAACAAAAAGAACGCGGAGATCAAAGTTAATCCAGAACACAATGTCTGCACAGCATCCATTCGATTTTACTCCTTTAAATCCATGAGTAATGCACATTATTTCAATACTCAAAACTTAATTTTAACAAAACTTGAATTCAAATGACTTAATATCACTTTTGATTTAAATTTCGTAAAAATCATTCCCTCGAGAATTCATCTTCAGATAGAAGTATGTCTAATATTAAATCCTTCATCCAGAAAACTATTTGCACCATGAACACTACACTTTCGGTAAAAAATAAATAAAAATGAAACATTTCCAAATTTGATTTGAAAAACATTTCAGGTAGAAGATTGGCTCATAATGGCTAATCCAACACTCAGAACACAATTTGCATCTCACTATTACACTGGTATAGTTAATATATCCTCAAAAATAGAATTCAAATAAAACATTTCCAAGTTTAATTCGAATTTGATCATCTGTATCTGTCGCCGAAGTTCATTTTGGGGTCAAAATTTGGGTAGTATTTCTTTACTCTTACTTTTCTATTTCCAGATCCAAATATCACTAATTTTGCACATATTTTGGTTTATTAGATTTTGATTCTCTCCTATACTCTCTCCATCACAGGAAAACGTATGCCTTTACAATGCAAACTGTAAACTGATTTTGAAGCACCGCACACTTGTATTAATACTAGTATCCCACAAAATCCACCTGTAACTGTCCATTATTAAGACAAAGACCTTTTCTTATTTGCATCTGGAAACACAATGGCTATTGAACAAATTGCTCTGCATCCCTAGCTTACCTGTGACTGTCCATTCCGTAAACAATGAACTTGTCATTGTATGTGTGCTGTCAATTTGTACATTTTTATTTAATTTTCAGAACAAAGGAAATCATGTTTTAAGTAGGAGAAAAGCCTCAAACTGTCCATTCTGTGAGAGAAAGAACTAATCTCGGGCCTACGGCCCTCGATTAGTTCTTTCTCTCACAGAATGGACAGTTTTCGGCCTTTCTCCTTTACAGATTGAATTTCAGGTCTCCATGTTCAGTAAAAAAAATTGAGGGGTTTAATGCCATCTCTTTTTTTAAAGTTTTTGCTGTGTTTGTAAATAAATAAATAAGATTATATAATGTGACAAAATGTGGATCCAAATACATCTGTCCAAATTTGAAAGGGTCTCAATTTACCCGACAAGTCCAAAATTAAAAAAAAAATGTTTAAAGGATTATCTCACACCTTTTTAAGTCAACTCAATACTCAAAAAGCCTTCACTTCAGTATTTTTCAGTTATAATGCTTTTATTAATCAATATATAAATATCGTTTCTTCACGGTAAAATATAAATATACTGATCAATTAGCAAGTCATCAGTTTCTTTGAGATCCATCTGTAGGACTTAAGTGTAGTAAACTTTTTATAACAATTAATTTTAAGTTGCAAGTTTCAAAATAATTTTTTTTTTGAAAATCGTGTTAAATATTACATATTACAAAATTTTATCCTAGAAAAAATTTAAAAGTAAATGAACTTTTTCGTCTAGCAGAGAAAAATGCCCAAATATCTGAGTTCCAAGGTGAAAAGAACTATTTCTGCATAAATACTAGATGCTCACCAAGCTAAAGCTCAATGTCATGAAAAAAATAATCAACAAGGCCAACGTTAAAGTTGCAGGTAGACAGATGAATCATTAACACCTCAATATCAACTTCAATATAAACAAGAGGCCCAAGGGTCTTAATGGTAACCTGAGTATTAATACAACACTGTAAAGGGTCCATAGAAGTATGAAAGAAAATTAACCGATAGAAGAAGCAATGTTGCTGAGAATTTCAAAAATCTGGTAAAAAAAAAAAGTAAAAGCGAAAATCATCTTAAAAAGGGGGAAAAATGAGAGTGAAAAAAAAAACAACAACATAAATTGAAGATACAATCACTAAGAAACAATCTTCATGCAGTAAAGGAAAACGTTAGAGATCTATGGGAAAATCTTTCAAGATCCGCCTAACTATATATTCACAGGCAGAAATAGTATGTTAAGCATTATGATTATGTTTATGTCACTTATAATCTAATATTTGAAGAAAACACAAAAAGCTATCGTCCTTTTTCTAACATATCACTAAGGTATATACATATTTATAAACCAAGACCCAAATGCCTGTGAATAACGTCACCATGATTACATTAGATAATTTTACATTGCTGGCCTATTTATCCCATATTATTGTGAAAAGCAGCACTGCAAACCTAAAAATTCAAGCACACTAGCTACAGTGGTCTGTATTATGAAGTAATTAGGTCAATGGTTTACACTGCAAACCTGGATTCTAAAATAGATTTTGTAAGCCCACAAGCTGCAGTGAACAGAGCAGCAGCTTTGTGGTACAGAGTAATCTAGGTCAATGAAAAAAAATCTTCAATTGGGAAGACTAGATCCGCCTAACATGCTTACACATATATTCATACACAGTAATTGTACATTTATATATGAATATTTACTTGAATTTTTCTTTGAAAGTATAAAGACATAAATAATATTATAATACGAAATTTTACACTGCTTATACACCCTAAGTTTGTGCAATCACTTAAAAAAAACATTTATTGCTAGAACTATTATATTTGGCGTATGAATCTCCTTGAAGAATGAGTGTTAATTTTTACAGCTATGATAGCAAGGATTCGCTCGCTCCGCGAGCAGACTCAAAAATGAACAGTACTGGAGAATCAAGACTGGCTATATATGTCCGGTCAATAACATTAGGCTAAATGCATGTAATAATTTGTTTTTCATAAATCTTTTTTTCAGGAAGTAGGGGTAGAAGGAACCCTTACATAGACACTGACTTTGTAGCATGATATTGTCAACGCATTCTGAGTTTGTTTTCTCGAAATGTAATAATTGATATTTTTCTTTACTTCTCAATATTTACTTTTGCAAATATTTTTCTTATATGAACTTATTGAGGAGAAGATATGTTCAATTCTGTATGAACGTGCTAGGGGGTCAGAGGTCATAGGATGACCAAATCACACGGCAAGATGATATCCTGCCTACTTTCTGTCACTGTGAAACTGGTTTTGGAACTTCCAAGTTGATAGCGATGAAAAAGATAAAATAGTTGAAACATACGATTTTTTTTTTTCGATCAGCAGATGTTTATTAGATCTTCAGGTGTGAAGAATGTTTTGAATAATACAATGAGCCTACAATCGGGCTGCCCTTTCTAACTCGAAATTCCTTTGAAATTATTTAAAATGAAACATTCGATACCACCGCTTCTGACTTCACATATATAAAGAACTCATAAAATAGTAAGATTATTCTCAGTAGCGATCAGTTGTTCTTTAAATTCATTATAAACAGAGATTTCCTGAACTGGAATACTGATCATCAATGTAAATATTGAAATGTTGGAGCGAGGTGAACTTTCAAGACCAAACAACTTCAGGGTCTTTGCGTGTCGCACATAGCAATACATGCGGTTCTATTCGTAATATTCGTCTCAAATGTAAATATAAGTAATAAATAGCAATGTTAAAAAGTTCACTGGGAAATGAATTTGGTTTGTATGTGATCAAATCCACTGAAAAGCCCTTTGGGCTTCACAGGATTTGATCATGTGACCAACCAAGTTCAAGAACATATATGTTACTCTAAATGTAATGAGCTCAATTATACAAGCTATTCGTAACATATATGCCCCAGACATGCACTAGTATTAAAGACGGAATAAAAGCGATGTGATTAAATTCTAAGGAATGTATATGATTGAAATCCATCGCGGCTCATTGCAGCCGAGAATATCTGTATTGAGTACAATGAGTTATTTATTTTTGTCCTTGAGGAAAGTGTGCGTTACTGAGATATAGTCTCGCTTGACTGTGCTATAGTTTCATTGGAATGTTACGATTTGCTCTCTTCTATCAAGAATGGACATGCATAAAAGATAGATAATTGAAGGAAATACACAACCTTATTAAAAAATTAATAAAATGCTCTTTAAAAAGGCGAGAATTTTAAACTATAAAAGTGTGGCACCAGATTGATTCGAACCATCTTTAAAACAGTACCCATGGTGTGAAAAATCAGCGGTTTCTCCAATTGAGCTATATTGTGACTAGAAGAATAAAATTTATAAATATGAACCAAATTGTCAAAATCAGGTTTCCTCATTTTTTGTAGGTATTTTTTGGTGATTTTCGACCCTAGGGCAGTGGTGCCCTCCCCAAAATCCTATCTTACACTATTCCTCACATCCCAACCTATCACAATATCACAGTTTTATTTAGGGGCAGGATTAAACTGAAAGACTTCTAGGCCTAAATTCATACAAAAATCGGTGCTTCATCGGACAAAATGTTGTTTTGCTCAACTTTAAAGGTTTATTATAAAGTTGTTTACAATATATTTTAAGTGCAAAACACAAATCTAAAAAAAAAATCAGACATATCAACAGTAGAAAACAACTAATAAACATTGACTTTCTAAATGTAACTTTTTCTAGGAAATTGTTCTCTCCTATAGGTCAATTCTTTTGAAATCGTGAAAACATACTTCCTTTTTTAAATTTAATTATCAAATTTATGCCACAAACCTTGTTTCGTTTTTCCTGTTGCAGCATCTTCTTCCGACTGTTTTCTCATTTCTTCTATGTAATGATAATTATTGGCAGGGTCCATTGTCTCATGTCTCAAAAAATCAACCTCTCTTTCATACTTTTCCCCATTGTTAAGGATAGAATCAATGTCCACGACTGCTGCTCTGACAGTGGACCAGATTATGTTGAAATCAGCATTAGAGAGGGTAGGACTGGAAGAAAAGACACACTGATTTCTGGCAATACGGATCCTCTCAATGTTGGCAGAGAGAGATCTGTCAGTGGGGTTTGGATCATATCCCCAGCCTCTTCTGTGCGGTGGTATACTACAAATGTGTCTAAGTAGTTTGTACAATAAAGAAATATCCATGTCATCATAGTTTCCAGTATAATCGCTGCCTCTAGGTAAAATAAGGTTCATTTGTGGTGCTGTCAGACGAAGAAGGTTACTTCTCTTTTGTTTAATGATGTATGTAAATGTTGCCGGTGGTACATGGTGCCGTAAAACATCACGTAGTTGATCAATACATGGACCGAGGATAAGTCGATTCGCTCTAAAAGCATTTGTTGTCTCCTCGGTAGACGAGTAACGAGAGGTTGCCATAGCATTAATGAAATGTTTCCCTGAAAATTTCAAAATCAACTGAATTTTAACAGGTAACAAGAGAAATAATTGTTAAATTTAAGAGAATTAGAATTTTTTAACTGAAGTTTTTTTTTTAAGTTATGAGTATTTTCGTATAATGCTCTTTTTTAAGGAGGCCTAATATACTTCTAATCAAATACACATACACCTTCATGCAGCATTATTTCAGATGCATCGCCATTTACTGGATTGCACAATTAAGTACAAAAATGTTAAGAGGACATTAAATTAACTTACACATGATAAAGCTAAAAGATCTTGTGACTCAATGTGCATACATAACATTATAGTGCTTTTCTTTCTAGTATGTGAACTTGCTTCCTACAGAAATTGATAAAATGAATTTAGATTGAACCCCTCCCCACAGAAATATCTAATCCATCGTTTGTCAGTGCATGTGTATTATAATGAATTATAACTCATTTATCTCCTACGTGTGGTGGATTCTACCAATAAGATAAACCTATGCTTTATCCACGGGTATGTGCTTTATCAATAGCACTTCCGGTTTTGACACAACCCCTTACTTAAAGATTTAAATTTATTAAAATTTCGAATTGTGAAAATTCTTTCCTTAAAAAATGAATGATAATGAACAAAAATTTCGTTTAAAGCAAGAAAAAGACTGGTATACATCAGTGAAGTGTCAAATTTTATCAATGTATCTGTACTGAATAGCCTACTGTGAAGACAAATGTTACACCCCCCCCCCCCTTACGATTTATAAATCGTTTTGATGAGAAACCTTTGACAGTTGTTTGGCCATGCAGAGAAGTCTTATAGCTACTTTCAACAATGCTTTCTTACATTATATTGCAGACATTATAACTTACCATGGATCTAGCTAGTAGCCTAGAACCCTGATTGGCTGAGCCCATCGCCATAGATACAATGACTTGAGAATAAAGTTAGAAATCATATGATCCTTCGGTCCTTAAAACTTTCAGTGAAAAGGGCCTAGTTGGTTTGTAATAAACCCCAACAGATTGTCATGTATGTTTTAAAAGACGCAGACATCAAAAATTTTATATTTTGTACACGATCTACTTTCTTTCAGCATGTCAACATCAACAGTGCGACATCATCAATAAATTTATGCATCATCAATTTGGATAGAAAATCATTCATAGTCTCACAGGGGATATCTCAAAGTTTTTTTCAAAAACGAAAATTGTATGAGATTAATAGAACGTCTATAATTGTGTGATTTAATATTTGCTTTATCCAACTCGTGAAATGGTGTATATTTGCTCGGCAAGCCTCGCGAATATACTCCATTTCAACTCGTTGGATAAAGCAAATATAAATCACACAAAATAGCTTCTCGAATATACTCCATTTCAACTCGTTGGATAAAGCAAATATCAAATCTCACAAAATAGATATCCTATTTTTATTTGTCATTTATTAATCAACCAATTTTATGTATGATTAAAGAACTATAAATGATACACCATTTTAAATTTATTTAAGACAATCTGGTACAGACCTTGATTTAATATTTCTTTTGCTGCATCTTCTTCACACTGTTTTCGTAGTTCTTCTATGTAGTGACGGCTAGGGACAGGGTCCACTGTCTCATGTCTCAAAAAGTCCACCTCTCTTACGTACTGATTCCCATTGTTAAGGATAGAATCAATGTCCACGACTGCTGCTCTGACAGTGGACCAGATTATGTTGAAATCAGCATTAGAGAGGGTAGGACTGGAAGAAAAGACACACTGATTTCTGGCAATACGGATCCTCTCAATGTTGGCAGAGAGAGATCTGTCAGTGGGGTTTGGATCATATCCCCAGCCTCTTCTGTGTGGTGGTATACTACAAATGTGTCTAAGCAGTATGTACAATAAAGAAATGTCCATGTCATCATAGTTTCCAGTATAATAGCTGCCTCTAGGTAAAATAAGGTTCATTTGTGGTGCTGTCAGACGAGGAAGGTTACTTCTCTTTTGTTTACTGATGTATGTAAATGTTGCCGGTGGTACATGGTGCCGTAAAACATCACGTAGTTGATCAGTACATGGACCGAGGATAAGTCGATTCGCTCTGTTGGCATTTGTTGTCTCCTCGGTAGACGAGTAACGAGAGGTTGCCATAGCATTAATGAAATGTTTCCCTGAAAATTTCAAAATCAACTGAATTTTAACAGGTAACAAAGGAATTAAATTGTTATATTTAAGAGAATTAGAATTTTTTAACTGAAGTTTTTTTTAAAGTTATGAGTTTTTTCGTATAATGCTCTTTTTTAAGGAGGCCTAATATACTTCTAATCATATATACATACACCTTCATGCAGCATTATTTCAGATGCATCGCCATTTACTGGATTGCACAATTAAGTACAAAAATGTTAAGAGGACATTAAATTCACTTAAACATGATAAAGCTAAAAGATCTTGTGACTCAATGTGCATACATAACATTATAGTGCTTTTCTTTCTAGTATGTGAACTTCTTTTAAATATTAAATAAATGTACAAATATTAAATATAACTTCTTATCTGACATTTTCTTAATTTGAGATTTCCAGATTGATGGGGAAGAGAACTTCTCTTTTGTACAATGAAGCGTGGGAATTTTCATATCCAAACATTGACAATGGCAATGACTGTGCATACTATTTTTGACAAACCCTATATACGAGGGGGTATCAAAAAGTTCGTGGACTAGCGCCATAAAATTAAAACTGCTTTAGGTACATCAATGGTTTTTCTTTAAATATTTAGTTAGCATCATCTTTTCTACCTATAGAATAAGCCACAAATCATAAATTTTATTTCTATATAAATTAGTAATGTTTTTGTAAGCAATGGTATGTCCAGGTGGCGCAACCTTGAACATGACGTTTTTTCGACCTCGGTGTTCCTGAGAAAAACTCTTTTGTTATGAACATTTGACATCCAAAAATCCCGTAAATTCAGGTATGTGATGGGACACTATTATTCCGTAAAATTTGCAATTTTTACCTCATTCTGTAAGTTCTATGAAATTTTATCGTAAATTTTATATGGAGTGTCCAAATAATTAAGGGCTTTATAATGACGTCAAAAAGGAGGAGGGGTTTCTTTTTCCAACATTCTATAAAGTTTTGCCCCTGAAAAAACTGGTATAGACCTAGGAAATGTTTAAACTGGCTACAGAGAAATAAAATGCATCCAGAGTACTTGTTTTTTAATGCCAAAATAGATTCAGAGAGAAAAGGGATGCACAGTTAATGTCGATTTGTAGTCAAGGTGGAAAAAGGCAATCTCGTCAAAAAATGACGTTACGTTGATCATGTGTGGTAAATATTGAACTCCAAAAAGCAAAATATGCTGGCATAATGAAGCGAGGATCTCTCCCAATCTATAAATCCATTTGCAATATTATATGTATTGAAAGCAGCTGTTTATGACATTGTAAAGTTATATAAACAAGACGAGTTTAAGTCCTTACTCAACTCCAGGGAATCTCATCAAAATAAGTGTATGAGGTAGAAGAATCGGACATTGAAAAACAATGACGTTGTCGGACGTCATGAAACTAAACGGCGACAGCGCCGGGTGATCATACAATGTCGTTTTTATTTTATAATAATTTGGCAAATAATGAACGTATCAAGCTAAAATTTTCAACACGTAATTATTTTTAGTTGTTTTATGTTCCTTACAAATTTTGAAAGCACAGACTACTTAGTACTAATTTTATCACCTCAGTCCATGAACTTTTTGATAACCCCTCGTATAAGTCATTTTGAGGTTTTTTTTCTGAATTAACATGTAAAAAAATAGAAATGTAATATACAGACAAATGATGTCATATTTCCAAAACAGTCCTAGCTCCTTTATGCATTATTCTTTCCTTATCATCACAATCATATTTTCAACTCCTGGTTGAGCAAATTTAAAAAAATTTGAAAAAGAAATCAAATTTTTAATAACTCTGTTTCATTTTATTTCTGAAATTTTTTTAAAAAATTGGGTGTCCGGTCTAAAAATAAAAAAAAAAAATGCTGGCCTTATCTTCAAAATGTATTCAGTGTATGCATATGTCAAAAAAGATTAATTGCTATTTGACACAACTATTATTCATCTAAAACAACTCCTACATATTTAATGTGAACATGACACATTGTAATTGGTATATAATCTTATAAAGTGACAAGAGGCCCATGGGCCACATCGCTCCCCAGAACACACTGGCTATGAAAAATGACTAATCATGGCTTTAGAAGTTTTAAAGATTTTTTCCCCTAGAAGTTTGAACTTCCATTGAGGTCCTAATATATCACCCGCTTCCATATAAATATCATAAATCCATTACTTTGCTGATCTTGAAAGGTCAGGATATCAAGCTGAAGTAAACGAAAAGTCGATCTTACAAATAACTTGCCTAAACGTAGTGCATAATATCGCCCATGTTTGAACATTACAGCAAGACTAATTCAACTAACTTTCGGACAAAAAAAACTTTCCTGTTCCTTGTAAGCAAATTAAAATGCACGAATTAGCCCAAAGATGCAAGCATGAATAAATATTAAAGTAACAATCTTTGAGCTCTATATATTCTAACTCTAATTCATCAATCACATACAAGAAACCCATATTTAATTAATGGTTTGCTTAAGTTTAACATGCTTTACGCTTTACTCCTGTAAGATAATATATCGGCACAGTTTGACATTAGGCTGATTCATACGTCCAGTGTTTGGTAGTGCCTTTTGAAAGCAAAAATTACATGAATTACCCCCAAAGACAGGAAGATTTAAGTTCCAATCTCAAAATTATATACTCTAACCCTAAGCACTCAATCCTATGCGTTTTGTTGAAGTGTAACGTATGTCCAGCCGAGTGGTCTACATATTTATATGGACAGGTACCCGGTTAAACCCAGGATTTCTGCAAAGCAAATAATCGAAAAAATAATCTGTATCTTGTCCACTAGGAAACAAACCTAATCAATATATTTACGGTGATTATTTTAACAATTTACTTAATCAATATATTAACTATGATTCGCACAACTAATCAGAATAAAATCAAGGGACAAGTGACACTGAATCACCTGTCCTTACCTTTAACCAATGTCCCCCGACAACTGGCCTAACCAAGGGTCCTGGTTATTGACGAGAGGTCTCTAACCAACTGGCGTCTCAAGCTCACTTTGACATTAGAGAACAGACTTGTTCAGCCTTTATTTCCAATGCCAAAGTTACTGTAATTGCGTTACATGTATTGGTGAATTTTGTAGCATTTGCTACAGACCTGTTTACCCATATTGTTGTCTCTCAGTATTTTTTATTAGATTTGTCAGTGAGATTTGACATATTCCCGTAAGATTTTACTTTCCATCGATTTTATATATATATTACTAGAGAAACCCCCGCGTTTTGGCAACCCGACATCACTTAAGTGTTTGCGCATGTATATTAATAAGGCAGTACCCAGATTATTTTTCGGCGAATTTAGACTTTTTTCGTAAAATGTATCATTGATAAATCGGAAAAGCTGTAGATAAAACATTTAATATTTTTATCCATTGTGCAGACGTCATCGAGTCTTAGGCCAAAAGAAGCACTCCACTACGACGTCATCACGTGACCTCTATTAATAGAAAAATTGCCTTCACGAAAAAGTGAAAATGTCAACACTACCCCGGGGATAATTTATTTCTCTTTGAAAATAATTATGTAAAATCATCACTGGACCATGAAAAGTGCTGCTAGAATCCTACTCTCCTGAAACAAAAAAAAAATATTCCAAAATTTCGCATGACACCTTACCAAAATTTTCACATTTTGTACATACGGTCAAGGAATTGTCATCAATTCATGTTAACCAAACGATTCTAGCAGTACTTTCCAAGTACTATAGAATACAAGATTTCGATACAAACAAAATTTATGTTTCAAAGTATGCGGCGTAGTGTTGAACTTTTGCATCTTTGCTGTTAGAACGACCGAGGAAAGGCTGATCGGGATTTCAAAACACTGTTAATTTTCAGAAAAATGATAAGTATACATCAGCGTACCTGATTCTTAATCTTCAATTCCCCAGGAATCACACATGACATTCACGGTATATGCTTTGAAACTCCATTTCATATATTTGTTTACATGAATTCTCGTCACGTTTTCACTCGGCAAATATTTGATCAGTAGTTATGACGTCATGGGTTTGGTATTTAACCCCCCCTCCCCCGTGATAAATACTGAGCTATTTATACCACCAAAAAGATTTAGTTTACATTATGTTTTGAATGATTCCATCCACTTCTTAGACCTGAAATTAAACTTAAAATATAAATATTAGGAAATCATTATCTCTAAAGATCACGTCATACAGCTTACTATGACGTTATACTGTATAGGTAAGTAGGATATCTGAGTTCAGCCTTAACATACCCGCGTGAAACTTTTCTATTTTAGTGATTGAAAAGCGCCAAACTGAGACAAATCATAACGAAAACTAATTACTAAAATCCAAACGAACGGATTCCGGATTTCCTTAAAGCAAAACGTGACTCGTGAGACGTATTTAGGGCTCAAAATCCGTACAAAATACGGCGAAATCGTAAGAGTAAACAGGTCTGTTGCTACCTAGTTGTACTACGAAACAAGTAGATTTTTTATCTATTTTACACCTGGGGTCTAATTAGATAGGGGTATGCTGAGCACGCGGTTAAGTGAGGACAAAAGGAGGTTGTAGACGTGCCTGTATATTGATCGGTGCTTGAATGGGAAAACTGGGGGAAGTTAAGCCAATATATTCCTTTAGTAGTGAAGTATAAATAGACACTAGTAGGGCTGTCAAGGTTCCCCGAAATAACCGAAAACTGCGGTCCAGGTTGTTCGGTTCCGGTTCGGGTCTGGTTTATATATTAGAATCTGTTTTATACAAAATATGGCGTCAAAATCAAAAGAATGATGACGATAACAGTGAAAAATAAACATCACAACTGAATTACACTTGATTCCTTAACAAAACTCTTGTATCGAAAGGATTAGATAGTTATCAAAACAAGCAAGATTGTAGCTAATAGTCGGCCTAATAGTCCTAAACACCGATGTCAAGAAGTTAACATGGATAAGATTTGTTTTAAAGGTGAATGTAACGTAATAAAAAAGATTTTTTATGTTAAATTCATGAAATAAAGGTTTAAAATAGAAGTAAAGAACCGAAACGAAAAACCCGAAACTGAACCGAAAATTTACAGAACCGACCCGACCCGAAAAAATTTGGAATCGCCCTAGACACTAGAGTTGTTGAACTGTTTTGTCTTGATTATTGGTGATTCGTGACCTCTGAGGGTGCTTGATGAGTAGCACTGGTTTGGACTTTGCCTGCACCTTGATTTAGTATGTTTTCACGACATGTTCTGTAAATACTATATTATTCTGTAAAAACGTTGCGCATATCTGTATATTCTGGCAGCTCACATTAGTGTAGTTCTTGTAATCCCTCAGGTCTGGTTGTAATAGTGATAGTTTTATGTTGTTTTAATTATTATGATATTCAAATGTATAATTGATTAATTATACATTTATGAATATGCCACAACTGATTCTAAACTCTGAAGTGCATGTATTAATCTGTGTGTCAATCATTATTGACAAAGACAAATAATTTAAAATCAAATATTAATAATATTCAATAAAATAATTTATCAAATAAAATAATTAAATAAATTGAATAAAACAAACTAATTGAATTAAAATAAACAATCAGCTAAAACTTAAGATCCACCCCTTGTTTTATCCCTATACCTGTAATAAACTACCTGAGTAGTATTCAACTTTCTTTAATTCTATTGGTCAAAACTTTTACCTCCAAATTCTGGACATGAGACAAAGACATTATTCAGATTGCTTTCAGACTGAGAAGACATGATTCTCATATATAAATTATAACTTTTACTGTGAACTGGCAACCAGATCCTAATATGTAAGTAACTTATTTACTTCTACTTATTAACAAAATATATTTCAAAATCTGATTTATCTGAATTATCTGAAATTAATAAACTAATGAAAATATTGAGTGTGCAAGAGTTGAGAGTGAATGATATTATTTTATTACAGTACATACAATGATAAAGTGCCAGTAATTGTTGTTAAAACAAAAAAGTACCTGATGAGGCACTCTGTTCCATAAACAAGTACATTTCATATTTTTACAAATGTACTTATTATTTTTATATTTTCTTAATTAATAAGTGGACTTAGAATTCACTTAATGATTATAATAAATAATGTAAAACAATTCAATATATGTTTCAAAGGAATATATATATATTATAAATTGTACAAGTTTTTATAAAATGCTGTGAAAAGGGGAATAACTCTTTCAAACTATGCATAGTAAGAATGTATTATGATTTTATGAGTATATTGCATGTATAAAGAATTGTCATCCTGATTATATTAAATTGTACTAACACTATTTATATGTATATTTACAGGGTATTATTATCCATGGTATTATCCACAGATATTATCATCTACATTAACAAATAAAATCACCATCAACGAACCCGCAGGTGTCTTGGTTATATTTATCATCTTTACCTGACCCCTGTTACATGGTTATAATCAGACCCAATCCCTGAGTGAAGTGGGGAGACCGGTTTGGCATTAACCCCGTCCTCCTTACACATTACAAATTCATTTTTTTTTCAATAAATAAATAAAAACCCAGGAGAACTCTTTGACAGCACTCTTTAAATATGGTTTTAATCTGCAATATTTTTTTAACGCATTACTATTACAATCCACACAAAACGAAAGTAGGCCAGCCAGTTTAAACCTTTAAAAAAAATCCCTATTTCGATTTTCAGTAGTTTACATTTGTCACCTGTTTGTCATTCATTATTTACCTTCAATACACTGGCATTGTAGATAAAGTATTTCAATTTTGATCACACGTGGAATGGTCAGTTTCCTATTCCGTGTTCACAAAAAAAGGATCGGGATCGGGATGCAATAAACACCTTCCTGTATTAATACGTCACCGAGTTTGGTTACAGGCTAACATGGTTTTGTAGTTGCAAGTGTTAAGTGTTGTGATTTCTGATTGACGCTTTATAAAGCTCTGGAAGTAAGAGTTTTATAGATACATAGTTAGGAGCCATAGAGCACGAACGCCCCACTTGCACGTGAGCGCCATGAAGAAATACGTGGTGGTCTGGGGGGCAACATTTTTTGTCGTGGTGTGTGTGTCGCTGTATCTAATGATGGAGACGGTGTCCACGAACATGGGGAAATCCCAGGATCTGGATGCTGTAAGTACACACAGAGGTCATAGATCGCAGGTAAAGTTAGTTAGAATAATCTAACTGTGTCTCGGGACGAGCCCTCACTTTAACGATAGAACGTTTTATCTAAGGTAAAGTGTATCAGGGTAAAGTGTGGTTGTTAAAACGAGTTATGATCAACAGGTCAGAAATCTAGTAAATTTTGGCGCATTGTGGAGTATAAAAATAAAACACAATAATTACTGATATGATGGTAGTTAGTTTGTCATAAAAAACAGGTGATGTGTGAGCAGTTGTAAGAGACAGTATTGTGTTTGTCGTGTTGTTGTCACCTCTCGAAGTGACCAGATTACAAGTTTTCACCATACTCAAGTCTTTCAGATTCTTCAACAAACACAAATCTGTGGGTTCTGGCCACAGGCCAACTCCTTAGAGCATGTGTGCTAGCATCCACATGTAGAAGATGCCCCTGTGACTTTTCCAGTGTCTGACATAATATCGACAGTAAGTCATACCATGGGACAGTTGCATAGATTTTACAATACCATGCTTAAGACATAAAAATTCCATTTGGAACAACAGTGTGGTATTTCTCTTTATCCCAGTGTTCGCAAAAAAAATATTTTAACACCGGACATTCGGACTGACAGTGTGATGCATTTCACAGGACCAAATGAATTTTTGCCAGACCAAAACTTTTTATCAACAAGGGCATTTATTTTTATTAGGTGTTTTCCAAAATGTTCAAAAATTTAGCTTCATGTGCGTTATGGATTGGCGACCTATTGCTGTGTTTATTTTCGTAAACAAGGCAAACAATAATATATAAAAAAGAAACAAATAAAATGGCAATGTATTATGTTAAATATACATTATTTATTCAGTGGTATTACCTGAGAAACTTTTTTGAATGGTGTTTAGTTTTTTTTTTTTCATCTACATTATTTACGCTGCCGTTTCTACTTTCGTTTTTGTACGACTGTATTAAATTTTTAATATAATTTATTAATAATAGATGAAATAAATCTGAAATGAAACTCTAAGATAAACAAAAATATGTTGTTTAGTAGTACTGTAAATTTGGTGCAATTATTTCTTCAAAACATTCGATTAAAAGGAAAATTGTTCGATTTATGTATCTTTATAACCATTGGGAGAAAATGCCAATTTTTGAACTTGAGATAAATGGTTTACAAGAGTCACCTGTATTTTGTATTTTATAGACGACCAAATTAGGTAAAAAGAAAAAAAAATCAATTAAGAGGTCCTCGGACATTCAGACCGAATATTGTAACTTCATCATCGGACCAAATAGATTTTCATCGGATTTGTCCGATGGACCGGTGCTTTTGGGAAAGACTGTTATCCCGTACTTTTGGTGAATGTCAGCACTTGAATAAAGCAAATCATTGTCCAGTGATTTTTTTAAGGGCCGATTTGGGGCCGAAATTCGGCCCCAGTCCCAATTGAAAATATGCCTGTATTTTCCCAAAATGTAGTGGAAGTTTTCCCAAAGAAAAACTTACAAAATATGTGATCAAATTCAGTTTGTTTATTGCATGTTTTTCAGTGAAGTTCAAGCAGGTTTTGTTGTTCAGCCATGTTGGAGTTCTTCATGATTAGATAATTCATACCACTATTGTTCTTGATGCAAGTAATTAAATAATTCATACCAAGAATAGTCTTGATTTGTTATAACAATTGTTTGTTAAAGTAATACAAAGACAAAAACAAAGCTTTTTTGACAATGCTTTTTAAGTGACTGGGTTTTCCCAATTTAGCCTAATTGACGCGGAAATTCCCAATTATGAGGGCCCCAGCCCCCAGTCCCAAAGTACTGAAAAAAAACACTGTTGTCAAATGGGTGAAGCTTTGTCCAACACTCTACTACGAAGTATGTTTCATAATCCCTCACTTCACATTGCTTAATATCCATTGCATCCAGATTCAGTTTAAGGAATCTGTCTCAATTAAATAATTTAAATAATTTATATTGCCTCTTTTCCCCAAAAAATTAGGTACCAACACTCCACTCAGAACTATTTGTGACACAGTCCCTCACGTCAGGTAGTTTTTAAGACATTTTTGTTTCTGTATGGAGTAAAAGGATTTGTATAATTAAAGAACTATATATGGTTTGCGCCATTTTAGACCCCCCATTCAGAAAATGTTTATATTTACTATGGGGAGTGATAAGGTAAGTGTGTTGCTTAAAAAATATATTTCAATTTGTTCAGGCATTTCGTTGCCATGGAAACCATCGTCAAAAAAAAACATACCTTCAGACCTAAAAATCTGGCATCTATCGTCATTTATACCAACTATAATGTCTTCAGTAAATGTCTATATTTATACTTTGGATACATGTATGTCAAAGTGACTGTTTTACCAAGGAAATATATTTTAAATTGATCAGGCATTCTGTTGCCCTGGTAACCATCTTCAAAAACGTATTTCTTCATACCTTAAAATCTGGCTTTAATTGACATTTAACAAAACTTTAATTTTGGTAGCATCTATAATATTTTCAGTGAATGTCTATATTTATACTCTGGGATATGCTAACGCCATTTTCACAGTATTTGTGCTAATTGTGTTGCACTTGGACCAAAAAATAAAAAGTCAAACAGCACATTATTGACATGTTTTCTAGAAAGTACAATACCTATCCAAATGAGTCCCAAATTTTTTTTATATAAGCATTCTTACTAAAAAAGTTATGCGTAGTCAAATTTTGACCTTGTGGACACTACACTGTACATTACACCTGTTACATGTATGTCTAGAATAAAATATTAAAGATATTTATTTATTCCAAACTTCTTGCGGGTTTTGATTATGTACCTAATTGCAGTGAAAAATCTTATGGTTCTCTTTGAAAACAAAAATTTTATTCACATTAATGACTTGCTAATTTTTTTTCCTAATTTATCTCCCATCCTTAAGTTTATCTACCTTTACAATCACACATAAGACCTATATAATTATCATGTGAAAATTAAATTGAATACTTCTAAATTTCAAATACATTTGTCATAACACCCTGGATATCTTCGTTTGTATCTTGTCTAGCTTTGAAAATGCATAGCATTTTTGTTGCGGACACTACAAGTAACCATAAGAATAATCTTTTGTCATTTTTATAAAAATAATTGTTGATAAATGTTCATTTCTAGGCTGAATTATACACCACCGGATCAACTCTTGAAAATGTATCAAATAAAAAGATGCAGAATGTGGTTTATTGAGATGAAAATAACCACATAACAAGGACCATTAATTATTTCTTGATGTATAATTGTTTTGCAGTTTTAAAAAATGTCTATGATTTTACTTATTTTAAAACAATTAAAGAAGTTATAACAAATAGTTTTATAGATAAATTCAATGAATTAAAGAATTTACTGAGGCATCCATAATTTTTTTTCAGTATTGAAATTGTTGCGGACACTACAATATATTGAAATATTGCTATATGACACCATATTTGGTTTTAATGGAGTAAAGTGAAAATCTTAATCTCTAACTAGTTCTATATGTACAGTATTACTGTAAATGGTGTTATATTATAGGGAAATAAAAAAGGCTTGTCAAAAATGGCTATCCGGCCTGGAAAATAAAACCCATATATATACCAGTAATTTTGAAGTGTTATCTTGTACAAAAATCACCATTTGTTATCTTAATCCAGTTAACTAATTGTATTATCAAAGGAGCAAAATATCAGAGAAGTGTTTTACATTTCAAAAATATTTAATGAAATAAAAAGTGAAAATAATAAATGAATGTGGTATATAGTTATTACTGTAGTGTCCGCAACACAACTGTATTAATTAGAACTAGACTTATTAATTAACAATTAACATCTTGATATATTATTTAGTTTCCACTTATTCAGTTTTAAATACCACATGAAAATTAACTTTCAATATATAACATAAGACTGACAATTGAAAGATTTTGAATACAGTGTATTATGCATAAACAAGTCGTTATGGGTGTTATTCAAAGTATGAAGTTATAGTTCCACTAAGTTTTGTAACCTTACATATTTGTATTGAATATTTGGACAATTATAGTGATGATCAATTGAAATCATGTTACATTTCTTTGAAGAAACTGTGAATTTAAAAAGCTGTTGCGGACTCTACAGCGTTGCGGACTCTACAAGACACAATATATTTGCCAGAATTCCAAGCAACACTGAGCTAAAGTCTGATATTTTTTGGTAGATAGATTAGTAGCTGTACTGGCCTCTTACATGTAAAATAAAAGAAATATAATTCATAATGCATTCCAGAATAAGCACATGTTGCGAATACTACAGAATTTTGGGACATTTTTATGCCAGTAAGAAGAAAAGGTGTCATTTTCTAAAGTTTCCAAGAATCCACTCAAACTTTTCTTTATTGTTTCATTTATCATTTAACTCTAATTTTAAAATGAACCTAAAGTAAGAGTAATGCATTAACATATATTTTTTTAAACTGCAAGTTCAAACAGTAGAATTTTATTAAATTTCATAACGTATCTGTATTTTCACATATTTAAACATTATTTCGCTAATATTTTGTTGATTTACATACAGTAAATTGCATATAAAAGAGGGATAATTTCACAATGATTTGACATCTATAACTAAGAGTTTCTATTGTAAATCTCCTGAAACAAAAACTGGAAAACAAAGCCATTTTTCAGCTGCAACAGCATAACGCAAAATATACCCCATATTTTAGGTAGTAAATCTTTAATATTTTTATAGTCTAGAACATGGGAGTGTTATATATCATTTAACTTGTTTGGGGTACCATTTTGTCATAATTTGGTCATAATTGTTAAGGGTTTAATCATATATTTTGATGCAGAGTGCATTATAACATAAGTGAGAATGAAAAAACACAAATACTGTGAAAATGGCGTCAGGTGACTGTATTTCTAAGGAAATAGATCTATTTTTTAGATTGAAAAGCCATTCCGTTGCCATGGACACCATCTTTGAAAACGTATACCTTCAGACCTGAAAATCTAGCTTCTATTGTCATTTAACAAACCTTTAATTGTGGTTGCATCTATAATTTCTTCAGTAAATGTCTATATTTATACTCTGGGATATGTTAACATAAGTGTACTGCTGAGAAACATATTTGAAATTGATCAGACATTCCATTGCCATGGAAACCATCTTTAAAAAATGATACCTTCAGACCTGAAAATCTAGCAATTTTGTCATTTAACCAAACTTTTACTGTCATAAAAACAATCGTTAATTTTGATACAGTCTCTATTCTCTTCGTTCCGATTTTTTGTTAAACTTTACATTTTTTTAGTAATTTAATGAAAAACATTTTTAAATTTAATATTTGATTCAAGGTCAAATTCAATGTCACTGGCAAAAACATGGACTAATTTGTGTTGAATTCATAACATTATAATTACAAAATTCGATGGATTCCCATGCTTCAATAAAGGTGGAGGTGGCTCCTGAACATAACCCATGGTCATCTAAGAAAATTCAAGTCACTGGCAGAAAAAAAAATGAGAAATGCAATTTATTGGTTTATATATGTTATCATTTAAAAGAGGAATTCAATAAGACTATCATTCAGCATTATATTGCAAAATGAACATTATTAATATTGTGCATAGTATGATCAACAAAAAGTCATTTTAAATACATATATTTTTTGTAATATGTATTTTGCCTCTTTCTATTTTATGTAGTACATAAAACACTTTTTAAAGGCTTGTGCACATTTTCATTTAGAGTTCTTATGGATCTCACTTTCGAATGATGGGTAGCAAAGAATTCATTTAATCTTTAAATTGTTCTTTGGTTATACCAGTAAGAGTGAATTGGTTAGAACTCAGAGGCTAACAGAGCTGGATAACAACAACTGGCGTGTCCCTCAGGCATGTGTGACACTTCTTGAGCACCGGTATAATTTAGGAGTGGACGATTTTTCAGAGAAATAGACTTTGGGCTACTGAATGTTATCCTGGTTAAATGGTCGAGAAAACCAAACTAAGAACATAATGATTATATTTCATTTTTGTAAAAATAATAAATTATGCATTAAAACTAAATTATTGATTTTTGTTGGTATACATAGATGGAGCAAATATAGACGACGTTACTTCGAATAAATATTCAATAGGCCTAAGTTAACGTTATATGCCAACAACGTCGTCTCTCTGTGCTTGGTTGTGATGTCACACGATAGTCAGAAAGGCAAATTTAAATCTATGTTTTTTTTAGTGGTTGAGTATGTGCGACTTTTTGAATAAGATTAATTTTTTGCATGTAGACTTTCTTTGAAAATATCTTTTACATGTACAAATATTTTTCTTGTTCAAGGCATCGCACATATATCATATATAAAATCGCCACTAACGGTGTCAAAAATGCCACTTTTTGACGTTTTCTTGTAAACTAAGGTACTTTGAACCTTTAATTCCCTGCATATTACTTGAGTTAATATATAAATATAGGGATAAAAGAAAAATATAAATTCTATTCTTTCAAACAATATCAATTTCATTTAGGTTCAGTGGCATTTAAATTTTAACAATAACGGGGGCAAAATATGAAGGAAACCATATATAGTTCTTTGTACAGTACCTCACTAGAATTTTAATGTTATCAATATGGATCTGAGTCCCAGGCCTTCTTCATGAAAGCATTCGCAGATTGGAGGCTTGAGTCGATGGTGATCTGGATCATATTCATGTCTCTGTTATAACAGAAGCATATCACTTATAAAACTCTGTTGACAGAGAACATGATACAAACCTAAGCTGAAAGGATGACAGAATTTCCTGGGCACACATGAACTTTCTTGAATACATGTATGTCTCTCAATTTTAAAATCTTGAGAATATCTTTTATACATGTATAATTACAATGATGTTGTTCACCTGATGATTGTTAGAATAATGATTGTAATCAGCCTAACATTTATATAACACTTTTTTCAGAGGTTGGTTGAAGATAAGATAGCGAGGATCCGATCTGACATTTCTAAAAACCAGCAAACAATCCGAGAAATAAAAGACTACGTACGATCAATGAGTCAAGGGGACAAGTCAGTGTTAAACAAACTTCAGAGTGTTCTCGACCAACAGGAACCGGAGGTCAAGCTTGATGACCTTTTGAATGTCAACAAGGACAAGGTCAAGGATACAGACAACACCGCCCTGGTGTTTCACCCAAAGGGAGGAGTCAAGCTGAGTGGGGATACTTGTAGCCTGGCAGAGGGTCCGAATCCAAAGAGTGATATACAGGTGAGGGAAGAATGTGATGTATAGACTAGAAATGATCAGATTTAAGCTATAAAATTCAGTATTGAAAATTCTCATTTCTGGCTCCAACACTTGCAGCTTTTCAGTAGGGCAGAAACAACTTAAGATAATTTTTTCAGTCTATACCAAAGATTTATTTATGTTAGGGTTAGAAAATTTTGAGTTAGTTTCGTAGGCTGTTAAACTCCTTTGTAAATTTTAATATATTTATGAAGTGTTATTTGTCTGTTTATACATGCAGCTTTAAAATTTTGTAGACATTTTATCTATTGATCTGGTATTTGAATTAAGGAACACAATTTTAACAGTGATGAACAGATTGTACATTTTATCTTTACAGATGTTAAGGGTTTATGAGAATTTGAAGTTTGAGAATTTTGAGAAGCATGATTATAAGACTCTGTGTTCATACTTTACAGATGTTAAGAGTTTATGAGAATCTGAAGTTTGAGAATCCTGATGGGGGAGCATGGAAGCAGGGATGGAGAGTTACCTACCCTGAAGGGAAGTGGAACGCTGACAACATGTTACACGTGTTTGTGTTACCACACAGTCACACAGATCCAGGTATGTAATATAGGTAATTAAACTGTACCCCATAGTCTCACTGACTCAGGTATAGGTACAGGGTTCGACATTCACGCTCGTCACCTCATCATTTCCATCCCAGAATGATTTTGGACAACCTGATTTTCAGTCTGGCTCGCCCAAATGACGACCTGGGATGAGTTGGGAATATTCAATAATGATGTTTAATATTTTAAAATAAACTCTATAAGGCGTTGAAAACATTGTTTCCTGTAACCTGACCTACCCATTCAAATTGCAGCCGGGTGCATTTTTTTTTTCTGCCAAATCATGAAATCTGTGTTTGATCAATCAGCTGATGTAATTTTTACCAAAAGTGTTAAATTATTTTTTATTTGAGATATAAAATATGTAAACCTAGTCAACAATCACCATAAATATAAAGAGTAATGGTCATTATTGTAACATCTAGCATTTCCCCCACAACTTTCTGATGTTCGTTTTCTGCTGCTAGACAGCCATGTTGGGTGTCCACTGTAAACATCACACCTGGTTAATTCAGTCCAGGGATGTTTGTTCCCATTTACTTAGGCCTGTATGGTAAGTGAAAATGAATGTTTTAATCTAGAAACTTTATTTTGTGTCAATATGTGAGGTGAGATTGTACATAAGCAAAAAAAAAAAAAAAAAAAAAAAAAAAAAATTTAAAAAAATCCCGACCTAGATTCTACCAACCCTTGATTTATTGGGAATATTACATGAAACAAACATAATTTTTTAAAGCCTAATTAGCATTCTGATTTTGCTTATTAATATTTGTTGCTTGTTTTCTTTGTTTGATAAAATACTGGAAGACAGCTTTTGACATTCCAAAAATGTCTGGTTTACATTTTATAATACAAAAGCACAACTTAATTAAATTCTGTTATCTTAACAAATTTTAAACAATTGCACCTTTTTGTTTCATTTGATATTTTGTTCAGGCGACCTGAAATTCATTTGGGCAACCTGAAATCAGAACCAAGGTTGCCCAAATGGCGAGAAAATTTTGACGAGTGTTGAACCCTGTAGGTAATTAAACTGTACCACATAGTCACACTGACCCAGGTATGTAATATAGGTAATTAAACTGTACCCCATAATCACATGGACCCAGGTATGTAATATAGGTAATTAAACTATACCCCACAGTCACACTGACCCAGGTATGTAATATAGGTAATTAAGATGTACCCCACAGTCACACTGACCCAGGTATGTAATATAGGTAATTAAGATGTACCCCACAGTCATGCAGACCCAGGTATGTAATATAAGTAATTAAGATGTACCCCATAGTCACACTGACCCAGGTATGTTGTAATATAGGTAATTTAACTGTACCCCATAGTTACACAGACCCAGGTATGTAATATAGGTAATTAGTGACACTGACCCAGGTATGTAATATAGGTAATTAAGATGTACCCAATAGTCACACAGATCCAGGTATGTAATATAGGTAATTAAACTGTGCCCCATAGTCACACAGACCCAGGTATGTAATATAGGTAATTAAACTATACCCCACAGTCACACAGACCCAGGTATGTAATATAGGTAATTAGTCACACTGACCCAGGTATGTAATATAGGTAATTAAACTGTACTCCATAGTCGCACTGACCCAGGTATGTAATATAGGTAATTAAGATGTACCCCACAGTCACACTGACCCAGATATGTAATATAGGTAATTAAGATGTACCCCACAGTCATGCAGACCCAGGTATGTAATATAAGTAATTAAGATGTACCCCATAGTCACACTGACCCAGGTATGTTGTAATATAGGTAATTTAACTGTACCCCATAGTTACACAGACCCAGGTATGTAATATAGGTAATTAGTGACACTGACCCAGGTATGTAATATAGGTAATTAAGATGTACCCAATAGTCACACAGATCCAGGTATGTAATATAGGTAATTAAACTGTGCCCCATAGTCACACAGACCCAGGTATGTAATATAGGTAATTAAACTATACCCCACAGTCACACAGACCCAGGTATGTAATATAGGTAATTAGTCACACTGACCCAGGTATGTAATATAGGTAATTAAGATGTACCCCATAGTCACACGGACCCAGGTATGTAATATAGGTAATTGATTTTTATACAGACCTATATATAGGAAATTAATGTACAAGTCTGAATGGGGCATTTTAGAGACAATATCACAAACATGTGTTTGTAAATATTTGAAAGTTGACAGGTTGGGTGAAAAAATACATTAATTACAATTTACATGTACCTTGTACTTTAAGTTGACATCTCTTAAATTTTCCTTCTGGTAGAATAATTGTATAATGTTTTGACACTGACAGGTTGGGTTATATACAACAATAGTATGTTTTAACATTGACAGGCAGGGTTATATACAATAATTGTAATATAATGTTTTTTGACAGGTTGGGTTAAGAAGTTTATGGATTACTACACACAGCAGACCAAACCTATCTTAGACAATGTCCTTAACTTCCTGGCAGCAGACTCGCGGCGGCGGTTTATCTACGCAGAGCTCTCCTTCTTCTCTTTGTGGTGGGAGTCGTTGAGTGCAGATAAAAGGGACACCACAAAACGGTAACCTTGTGGTGTGAAAGTGTGTAATAGAAACCTGTTAAAAATGATTTAACATCTTGTGTGATTATGCTTAACTGAAAGGCTTGGGTACTGTATGGGGGTTTAATTTTGTGGATGTATAATTCTGCTAATTTTTCCTTTGGCACCTAATAGCTGGTGCTTAAATGCATACCATTATAAATTTTGTCTTCAGTTTGTATTCACTGTAAAGTGACGTCTGTATACTTTGTACAATAATGTAAGTTTTATAAATTAATTAATTTTAAGATTTACCTCCAGGACATACTGTAAACCAACTTTTATTCGTGTGAGAGAAATATCCGAAAGTTTCGCCAAATTGATTTACTTGTGAATATTTCATGCCAAAACTATTTATTTCATTATGTATCATGTAGAATATTTCCTCAGTCGTGAAAATTAGTCATCATGGATAGATTTCAAACTGACGAATCATCAATAAATGTTGTGAATAATTGATGGTTAACAGTATCATGTCAACATATGAGAAAGGTAAAGATAATGGACAGTGGTCGATCTCCTAAAAACAATACAATTCTGTGAACAGGGCATAAAACACGATCCCCTCGAAATTCCAGAGCTGGGATCAGGTGCCTAGGAGGAGTAAGCATCCCCTGTCGACCGGTCACACTTGCAGTGAGCCCTATGCATTGATCAAAGAGATGGAACATTCCATAGTCAAATTTAGTGTAAAAACAAGGGCCTAACAATGTGTATGAAACAAGTCAGCCAAAATACGACCCAGTGATGGGTTAAGGTTATGTTGACCTGTTGTCATACCTAAGTGAACCTATATAATTGAAAATGAAATGATTTCAAACTGATAACTGTTTTGCTGCTTGTGAATGAGCATGAACCCATTACAGAGTTTATTTTCAAATTCTGAGCGTAACATTCAAACATTAATTTATGTGTTTCAAGTAGAAATTAAAGACTTTATGTGGGAAGTTTAATTTCTTGAGTTCTTGTCTATATTTCAGGCTGATCAATAATGGACAGCTGGAGATAGCCACAGGGGGATGGGTGATGAATGACGAAGCTAACGCTCACTTCGCAGCAATGGTGGACCAGTTAATAGAGGGGAACCAGTATCTGCATGGAGTGACAGGTAACACAGCATAGCTGTACAAAGATCAAGGGGTAGTGTAGCTACCTAGCTGTAGAGATTGAGAGGTAGTGTAGTGTATCTAAATAGCTGTAGCAGAGATTCAGATGCAGTGTAGCTAAATAGCTGTACAGAGATTGAAGTGAAGTTTAGTGTAGCTAAATAGCTGTACAGAGATTGAGAAATAGAAAAGTGTAGCTACACAGCATAGCAGAGGTTGAGAAATAGTATAGTGTAGCTAAATAACTGTACAGAGATTAGGGGGGTTGTGTAGCTAAATAGCTGTATAGAGATTGAGGGGTAGTGTAGCGTAGCTAAATAGCTGCAGAGAGATTAAGGTGAAGTGTAGTGTAGCTAAATAGCTGCAGAGAGATTAAGGTGAAGTGTAGTGTAGCTAAATAGCTGTAGCAGAGATTAAGGTGTAGTGTAGTGTAGCTAAATAGCTGTATAGAGATTGAGGTGAAGTGTAGTGTAGCTAAACAGCTGTCAGAGATTGAGAGGTAGTGTAGTGTAGCTTAATAGCTGTACAGAGATGGGGGGTAGAGTAGTGTAGCTAAATAGCTGTACAGGGATTGAGAAATAGAGTAGTGTAGCTAAATAGCTGCAGAGAAATTAAGGTGAAGTGTAGTGTAGCTAAATAGCTGTACAGAGATTGAGGTGAAGTGTAGTCTAGCTAGATAGCTGTATAGAGATTGAAGAGTAGTGTAATGTAGCTAAATAGCTGTACAGGGATTGAGAAATAGAGTAGTGTAGCTAAATAGCTGTACAGAGATTGATAAATAGAAAAGTGTAGCTACACAGCATAGCAGAGATTGAGAAATAGTGTAGTGTAGCTACATAGCTGTACAGAGATTGAGTAATAGAGTAGTGTAGCTAAATAACTGTACAGAAGTTGAAGGGTAGTGTTGTGTAGCTACATAGCTGTAGCAGAGATTGAGAAATAGTGTAAATTAGTTACATAGCTGTACAAAGATTAAGTAATTGTGCAGTGTGGCTAAATAGCACAGCTGTTTAGGGATAGAGAAAAAGTTTAATGTAGTTGCATTAAAGCTGTACAGAAATTGAAATAGTGAAGTGTAGCTGGAAGCATAGTCGGCAGAGTTATTGTAGTGTAGCTACATAGCGTAGTGGACAAAGACTGAGAGGTAGTGTATGTGTATATAGTAGGAAATGAACAGTAAACAGGGATAGACATTAATGGTTGTTCGATTGCCAGTAAGTAGTAAATTCTCAGTTTAACTGATGAATTGAACGTTTGATTTCTGCCAAGAGAATAAGAAATTGGCAATCAATAGAACTGAGTCAATCAATCAGTTTTGCAGGCTTGATTTTACCCGACTTCCATAGGAAGACTGTAGATATTACTTGAAATCAAGTTTGTATAAAATATGTTGACAAAACAAAAGATAACTTAATAATATAAGCTAAATCTAAAAGTTATAAAATGTACAAAAGAATATTAAGCCAGGGTATTGGCAACATGGAATTCCTGAGAAAAAACTCAAATTATGGACAAAAACCAATAATTACAAAAACTAAAAACTGCAGAACTGGATAAAGACCTCTAAGTACATACTACAGTAAAAACTTGGTTATAATGAAGTCACTGGGACCTGTGAAATTACTTCACTATATCCGTAATTCACTATATATCACTATATCCGTATAAGAAATTCATTAAATTCATTTAGCTGGGTATCCAAGAAAAATTCACTTTATCCATGAATTCGCTATATCCGTGTTCGTACTAAACGAGTTTTACTGTACATATAAAAAGTTATAGATGATCTAGCATACGTAGGTAGAAGTGTTTTCCCTCAAGTATTTTATCTGATCTTTGCCTGAATCATTATGTGCATGCTGTTGTGTGTTCTTGTATGTGGACTGAATTATGGAAGACTGAGTTTTTTGTTAACAGGTTTCTCTCCCAAATCTGGCTGGGCAGTTGACCCCTTTGGATACTCTCCCACCATGGCATACCTTCTGAAGAGGTCAGGGGTCAGTGGGATGCTGATGCAGAGAGTTCACTATGTCCTCAAAAAACACCTGGCTAAGAATAAGAACCTGGAGTTTATGTGGAGGCAACTCTGGGGTGAAGTTCCTTTTATTGTGATAATTCTTTTAATATGATACAGAGTATTATTAAAATAATTAATATCCTTTTATTGAAATAATTTTTTAATCTGATACAGATTATAATTTTAATAAGATTGTAATTTATGATAGGTCCATATGGAGGCAGTAACCGTAGTTACAGATTATAATTAGGGCCCCGCAAGGATTTGCGGGTGCCCTATAGTAATCACTCTGTCTGTCTGTCTGTCCATCTGTCATTCTCTGGGGTGAAGTTCCTTTTATAGTGATAATTCTTTTTATCCGATATAGAGTATTATTATAACAAGTAGAGCTTTTTAAAAAAGCTTACCGTCTTCAGCAACAACCTTTAACAGTAAATTGACCTAAACCTATTAGGCAGTATAATTCTTGAAAACTTCTTTGCTTTGTATTTCTTCATTAGTTTTTTCTGACATAAGCTCTAACCAAGTGAAACATTAACAGATGCTCGGCTGTCTCCGTAAACTTTGACACTGCTGCTGAAATCATTCGGCAATCCTCGGCCGAGGTGTTGCCGAGTCCTTCCGAGATTAGAAAGACAGTGCAACACAAAGGGAAAAAGAATGTACAAGTTGTAAAGCTTGAATGCAATAAAGATCAATTCTATTAACAATGAAAATAAAGAAACGCTTTTTGGTAATTGCTATAAAAAAAAAGTAGCATGTTATTTCGAATTAATTGCTGCCAATTTCCACTGTTCGTTTTGTCATATTTTTTTACGATTGAAAATCTTGAAAAATTGTTAAGTCGTACGAAAATTAGACCATCAGAAAATTATCTCCCTTGCCTTGAACAGCATTTCAACCAATGAAATGATTGAAAATTTTCTCATCATGCAATTTCTACCAATAACAAAAGAGAGGAAGTGCATAGTCCGAAGACTGTAAAATACTTCAACTCTGTATACCGTCTTCCAAGGAAGACAGTAATTATTACTATCCTTTTATTGTGATAATTCTTTTAATCTGATACAGATTATTATTTTAATAGGATTGTAATTTATGATGGGGCATATGGAGGCAGTTACCATAGTATTGCATTTTACTTGCACATAAAACAGTTATATTTGGTCACTAAAAGTTCTTTTTAATAAAATATCCACTGGATGTCACAAATTACTGGCTGTCTCCAGCAGTTCCCTTTCAGCTTGTTTTATTGTATTAAACATTTTGATTGTTCCATTGTATTGATGAATGCCTTGTAACTTCTATTTCATTCTGGTAGGATTTTATAGGATGTTAAATTGAAACCTTTTTATCGTTGAGATAGAATTTGTCTTTGTATGAAACTGTAGATCTCAAAACTTTCGCGACATCTTTTTTTGGAAGATAGTTATTTACCATTTTTAGCAAGAAAATTTTTCATGAATTTTGATTATTGCTCCATATAATCTTTAAGAATACAAACATTCGAGAATGATGTTTTCACAAATAGACTCTAACTGTCTCACATACTTATTTGAAAATTAATCCTGGAAATTAAAAGTGATTTACAGCAACTTTTTTATTTTTTTTACAGATACTTTGTTAATTGTTATTAATGAGAATTTTATGTATAATGTTTGAATATTCTCTACACAGATACAGAAGGAAGTTCCGACATTTTGTGTCACGCCATGCCATTTTATTCGTACGACATTCCTCACACCTGTGGACCTGACCCTAAAATCTGTTGTCAGTTTGACTTTGCTCGAATGTCCCCGGGGCCATACAGCTGTCCATGGAGGGTACCTCCTCAGGCAATCACCGAGTCTAACGTGGCAGAAAGGTAATTTATACACACGTCAGGAACAATTTAGGTTACTGTTGAAGTATTTTGATTTGCGTTGATTCAAAATTTTAATTTTTCATGGGAATGTAAAGGGCAAGGTAAAGTAAAAGCCAAATATGACCCCTATTTGATCCAAAGATCAGAACACAGTTAAAACTGTGATAGTTTGTGGTTATGAACTTAAAATGATCTTTGTTTTTAAAATCAACATATTTTTTGATTCACATTGAACATGGAGGCCACGAGACAGCGACAAAGGAGATATATATAAATTTGGTACATAGGCAAGCTTGTGCTGTGTGTTTTCTGAATAGAAATGTGCTTTAAAATTGACAAAAGTTTGAATAAAAATGAGAAAATACAAAAACTATCTTGTTAATTCACCAAATACCACATTTGTGTAGATGAGTATATTTGAGAATGAGTTACTGTGGAATCATTTTAATTCGTGGGGGTCAATGTTCGTGGGCAAGCAAAATTTTACGTATTCAGGGGGACATTATTTTGTGGGTCACTTGTTTATACAATAGATTCAATGAATCAATATGTTTACAAAATAAACGTTTGTGGGGATGTTAATTCGTGGCTAAGGGTGACCCACGAAATCAACGAACATTGGTCCCCCACAAACAATGATGATTCCACAGTATTTCTAAATATCAAAAAGGTGCAGATTAAAACAAACAAGAATGTACTTGGTTTTAAATGAATCAGGTACTAGTATTTAATATTTGGAAGATAGTCTCAAATGCTTTACCGTCTTTAGCAACATATTTTATCAATTTACTGATATGCAAGGAACATATTGCTGATGTTAGTCGACAAGGAATGCTTTACTCCCCTATGGCTTAATAATTACAGGACAGCCTTGTTAATTGACCAGTAATTATTAATTGCAGGATGACCTTGTTAATTGACCAGTAATTATTACTGGACAGCTTTGTTAATTGACCAGTAATTATTAACTACAGGACAGCCTTATTAATTTACCAGTAATTAATTACAGGATGGCCTTGTTGATTAACAAGGAATTATTGATTACAGGACAGCCCTGTTAATTGACCAGTAAATATTAATTACAGGACAGCCCTGTTAATTGGCCAGTAATTATTAAATACTGGACAGCTTTGTTAATTGTCCAGTAATTATTACAGGACTGCCTTGTTAATTGACCAATTATTAATTACAGGACAGCCCTGTTAATTGGCCAGTAATAATTTATTACAGAATGGCCTTGTTAATTGACCAGTAATTATATATTACAGGACAGCCCTGTTAATCGACCAGTACAAGAAGAAGGCCTCGCTATATGGTAGTAACGCTCTCTTTATCCCACTCGGAGATGATTTCAGATACGATAAAGCAAATGAGTGTGAGAGGCAGTTTGACAATTATCAGAAAATCTTTGATTACCTGGATAAGAACCCACAGCTAGGGGTCAGGGTAAGATTGGTGGGAACTTTAACCTTGATAAAAACTGTTAACCAGGGGTTGATGGAAATCTTTGATTTTTTCAACATGAACCCTCAGCTAGGTATCAAGATACAGTGTAGATACAAATATTTACCTTAACCAGAACCCATAGCAAGGATGGTAAAGTGTTATTGATGAGGGACTTAGTTTGAAGTAGGAGTTACTGGAGGAATTGATGAATATTCATGATTGAGTATCTGTTATACCAGTTCATTGTCAATTAGGCAAAAGTTTCGAAGCACATATGTGATTGTTCTTTGTTGACGGTAAAATTGATTTCTAATTTCTCTTCAAGGCTAAGTTTTGTACCCTGAGCACTTGTACTTCAGGTAATTGTTCTTTTGAATGTTTTGATTTTTGTTCCAGGCTAAGTTTGGTACCCTGACTGAGTATTTCAATAAAATCCATGAGTTATCTGGGTCACAGCCTGGCAGTAAACCCCCTGATTACCCAGTACTGACTGGCGATTTCTTCACTTACGCTGACAAGGATGATCACTACTGGTCTGGTTATTTTACGTCACGGCCGTTCCAGAAACAGCTTGACCGACACATAGAAACAAATCTAAGGTAATTACTACTGGTCTGGCTATTTTATGTCACAGCCTTAATTAGTTCTAAAAGGAATGTTATCCTTGAAAAAATTTCACACTTGAAAGATCAACTGCCTCAGTTTGATTTCTGTAAATATCATTCCATACCAGTTTATTTTTATCTATACCAGGTCAGCAGAGATAGCTCTGAGTCTGGCTTCAGTTTACCAGGAGAAGCACCGGTTGACCGGTTTCCCAGTGGACCAGATGATGCAGCTGTTGGTGGAGGCCAGGAGAAACCTGGGTCTATTCCAGCACCATGACGGAATCACAGGCACCGCCAAGGACTTTGTGGTGGTGGACTACGGGGAGAGGTAAGTCCCCCTCGTGTGCTGCTGAAGACGTCCACAATTTATTTAAATGAAGAAGGTGAGGATCAAAAACAGTGATTATAACAGTGGGTCCCACTGAATTACCAAGGACTTTATTGTTGTGGATGAGACTGGGTCCCACTGAATTACCAAGGACTTTATTGTTGTGGATGAGACTGGGTCCCACTGAATTACCAAGGACTTTATTGTTGTGGACGAGACTGGGTCCCACTGAATTACCAAGGACTTTATTGTTGTGGACGAGACTGGGTCCCACTGAATTACCAAGGACTTTATTGTTGTGGATGAGACTGGGTCCCACTGAATTACCAAGGACTTTATTGTTGTGGATGAGACTGGGTCCCACTGAATTACCAAGGACTTTATTGTTGTGGACGAGACTGGGTCCCACTGAATTACCAAGGACTTTATTGTTGTGGACGAGACTGGGTCCCACTAAATAATAAAGGACTCTATTGTTGTGGACTAGGGAAGTGTTAGGTTGGATCACATGTTCCTGAAGATGTCCAATGTTTAGTTAAAAAACACCATGGGTCCTATGTAATCTGATAGTAATTAAGTTAATATATCTATTTATCAGGTATGAAGGAAGACATCCTTGTTTAGCGCAAATATAATAAAGTGGGTCTCAATTAATGTGTCAGTGTTTAATCTTATATTATTTCAGTTGTTGCACACATTTATGTCTTTAGATATTTTGAATTGATCTGTGAATTGTGAAGTGTTTCTGATTTTGATGTTTTTTTTGTAGACTGTTGACAGCAGAAAACAACTGTAAAACCATTATTGCTGAGGCAGTGGCCTTTATCTCCATGGCAACAAAGAGTGATTACAAACAAAGCCGATTCTTTGACTTTGTAAGACAACTATTTTCCTACTTTTAATGAAATGTGTGTTAAAGTAGAGAAAGTACTCGTAAGACGCAATGAAAATTGTTTCTGTGTCAGGAAGAAAAAATTATTTCAGTGAATTTTTATTTCTAATCTCAAAAGAATAAGGTTTGATTTAAATATATAACATAATTATACATTTTATAAGAAAAAAAAGTTGTAAAAGATTTCTGATCAATTTTACATCCTCAGATGCAAAAAAAAAGTTTGTTTATGTAGCTCTTGGAATTAATTTAATTGATAATTAAAATGTAAATGATTGATTAATGATTGAACTGTTATAGGATGAGATCAGAAAAAGTCATGACTCCTTGATAAAGAGAAATGTCCTGCAAGTTACAACCAGACCAAGGTAATTATTACATCTCCAATGTTCAAGTTCTTCAAAGCCAAGCAAAATCATCCTTGTTTTTTGATTCACCAAATATTTTTCTTTTTTCTGAGATAAGTTTGATTTATATCATAACTGAAAAAACTTAAAGAAAGTAAAAAATTGTAAATATATGAAATACTTTATTTGTAGTTACTTTGTGCAAATTAAAGTTTCTTGTCAAAAAATAGATTTCATACTGTATTTGATTTAAGAGCCATGCTTATCTCGGACATCTCTAACTCATATATCCTTGTTTTGGTTTAGTTATTTCAGATATCTTTTAATTAATGAATATTCTAAAGACTTGTTTTTTAGTCTTTAATGTATATCCTTGTTTTTTCAGTTCTGTGATTTTATACAACTCTCTGGGCCACCCCAGACATGAAGTGATCAACCTCCATGTTAGTGACCCCAATGTAGAGGTCACTGACTCCCAGGGCAGGGTCATCTCCTCCCAGACTGACCCCTACTGGACAGAACCAACCACAATGTCTGAGGGGCGGTTCAAGGTAAACTTCAAACATTCAAGTAGTATTACCAGTGGTTTGGTTGAATACTGTTGTTTGAGATGAATACTGTATAGAACACTGTGTAAGATTAACATTACTGTTTCTATCAATATTGGTTTCAATCACAACGATTAGAAATTAATATATTTTGCAAAGAACATGAGTCATTAAACTGCAAAAAATACCCATGGTTGGACAAATGTAAAAAATTTCATACGCAGTCTTCAAATTCTCTACATACATGTATATGAGTAAACATGTTGTGAACTTGTGATAAAATGTATACACTATGCTGTAATTTAATTTTCATGTACAAAAATACAATGCACATCTGTATGCTATATGTACATGTAATGTCAGTTTTCCTTTTTAGTTGTTCTTTGTTGCGGAGGTTCCAGCTCTAGGCATCACTCGGTACCAGATCACACAGAAGGAGAGGGGCTCTCACAACAGTCTGAGTAAAGTGACATTCTACAACAGTGGAGAACCCTCATCTGAGTGAGTCAAATAATTCTCAATTTTAAGTTTCGTCTGAGACAGTTCTCAATTTTAAGGCTCATTTAAGTAAACCAGACTATTCTCAATTTTAAGTCACATCTGAGTAAGCAGGACTATTCTATATTTTAAGTTTTGTATGATTAAGTCAAACACTTTTCAATTTTGAGACTTCTCGGAATAGAATTCAGACAATTCTCAATTTCAAGTCTCATCTGAGTACATGGGACAATTATCAGTGAAAGTCTTATCTGAATGCTTCAGACAGTTCTGAGTTTTAATCTATGTGTAGAAACAACCTTCCCTTTGTCTGCCTTTAGGTATTTTTTTTTAGCCCAGATGATAATGGTTTTATCTAGATAATATAGTGAAATTGGACTGTACTTAAAAGAAAATAATAAAAAATATTTTTGTATTGTTTAAGGCTTAGGAATGTCTTGAAATGATTTTCAGTGATCAGGATACTTAACTCTAAATACAAATTTTACCTAACAAACCAATCTAGGCCTAATAAGGCATCCACTGAAGCTATGTGCACAAAAATATAGTATCATTATTTCTGTGTTGACCTGATACTATGTGATATTGACCTATAGTATAACCTTGTATTGTTATTTCTGTGTTGACCTGATACTATGTGATATTGACTTATAGTATTATCTTGTATCATTATTTCTGTGTTGACCTGATACTAAGTGATATTGACCTATAGTATAACCTTGTATTGTTATTTCTGTGTCGACCTAATACTATGTGATATTGACCTATAGTGTTAATTTGTATCTTTATTTCTGTGTTGACCTGATACTATGTGATATTGACCTATAGTATAACCTCGAATCATTAGTACCCCGCAAGGATTTGCGGGTGCCCTATAGTAATCACTCTGTCCATCTGTCTGTCCGTCTGTCTGTCTGTCCGTTTGTCATTCTTCCATCCACAAATTTTCTGTTTTTTTTCTAATAACTTTGTTAAGGGTTGACCAGTTAAGTTCAAATTTGGTTTGTTGGTTGAATAGGCAGTAAGGCATATTTGGATGCTAAGTTTGGTTCTGTATATCATCCGGTTTGGAGCTTGGGTGGTGGGGTAGATTCCTTAACTTTAGATAAAAGTGAATGGGCAAAGAGAGATATCTGCTTAGAATATTCCTGTTGTAAACTATGAAAGGTTGCAATGAGTCTCTTAGGATTAATTAACTTTCCTCTTGAAGAAAATCCAAAGCATTTATCTTTATCTGTCACATTGAGATTAATTAACACCTCTGTCTGCAAATGAAGTTTGTTTAGAAGTTAAGGTCAATTCTGAATGATGTTTACATTCTCTGATATGTGGATTTAAATAATGTTCATACTTTTTTTTGGTAAAATACACAATGAGTTATTTATGATTTTATTGAATTCTAACAACAAGATATAGATAAAGATATCATTTTTATAATTATTTTTTTCTTCTTTTTTCTTTCTTTTTTCTGCCTTATGTAAATTCAAGAATACTATTTATTTTAAGAGGTAATCAGATAATAACCTCATTCTATCATTGCTGAAAAAGTTCTTGTTGTAAATTTAGAAGAAAAGGTTGAGAGAGCAGTATAATCAATCCCCTGGGATTGATTATCTTGCTGGCCGCAGAAAATTTTAGAGGGTAATGTTTCTGTCACTTTAAGATTAATGAACACCTTTGTCTGCAACTGATGTTTGTTTTGAAGTTAAGGTCAAGCCTGGGTGATATTTGCATTCACTGAAGGTTGGCATTTTAGAAAACATGCTTCATTCCTCTTTAAATATACATTTAATTGAGTTATTATAGATATGATGTTGTTACTGCCTTATGTAAATACAAGGATGCTATTTACAGGTTGTTGGATATTTAGCAGTTGCTGTTGCTTATTTTTTTTTTTGATATATTTTTAAATTTTTGTAATCAAGTAAAATTTTCATCCCCTAATTTGTACCCCTATATTTCTACCCCTCAGCAGGGCCCTTGCTGACTGGTCAGATTTCTAGTTATTTCTGTGTTGACCTGATACTATGTGATATTGACCTATAGTATAACCTTGTATCAGTATTTCTGTGGTGACTAGTGATGGAACGATTGTCACCGACAATCAATTGTTAGGAGCTCTTCGATGCTACTAATTGATTAAAAAATAAATGTCGCCGACATCGGTGACAAAAAAATAAAATTGTCACACTTTAATTTTATTTCCAAATCCAAATGCAGAGAGTTTAAAAGTAGTGATGAATGTTTAAAATATTGAAGGAATCCATGCCATGTTGATATTTTTACGGCCATGATTGAATGTAGGGTCAGACTAATAACAAAAAACGGACAATATTACGAAGATTTACTTTAAACAGGAAAACATTTTTAGAACAGACAATCTGTAAACATAATTATTATCAGGAATACGAGTCCAATTTCTTGATAACTATTTTAAAATTTGTAATTCCAAAAAAATAAATAAATTTAATCAAAGGTGGGAATAATATCAGTATATTCATTAATTCTCATTCTGATTCAATATATTAACTTTTTTTAAAGAAATATTATTTTCCACTTTATTAAAAGAACAATTAATAAACCTTTTTGAATATTATATGTAATTAAATGATTTTTTTTGTATAAGTCTGTCTGAAATCTGAATAAGTTTAAATAAATAAATAAAAATAAATTCCCATTCTGATTCAATATATTAACTTTTTTTAAAGAAATATTATTTTCCACTTTATTAAAAGAACAATTAATAAACCTTTTTGAATATTATATGTAATTAAATGATTTTTTTTGTATAAGTCTGTCTGAAATCTGAATAAGTTTAACTTTTCTATATTTATTTCATTTAAGTTAAATATTTCGATTATAATAGATTAAAAATCGATTATAACCAGCCGATTATTACCGATAATCGATTCTAATTTTTTCCTGATTTGCCATCACTAGTGTTGACCTGATACTATGTGATATTGACCTATAGTATAATCTCGTATATCTTTATTTCTGTGTTGACCTGATACTGTGTGATATTGACCTATAGTATAGCCTCGTATCTTTATTTCTGTGTTGACCTGATACTATGTGATAGCTACTTTAAATTATGCAGCATTTTCCTTACAGCTCTGCATTTTCTGTGGAAAGAAAAAGTTCTGTGGAGTTTAGCCTTGAAAACTTGTATCTCAAGGCCACATTCTCTGGTACCAATGGACTACTGAAGGTATTTTCATTCTTTATATTTTATTTAGCACAGATCGGTTCAATTATAATGAAACTTAGATATAAGCAGTAGCACTATGTTCTGTGTCTTTTTAAATTTTCCGTTACTTATGGAAGTATTTTTTAAACATTCTATTTTGAAAATGAATTGCAAGTTAAACATTAATTTTTTTGTTTTGTTTTGTTTTTGGCCAAGTTTGACAATTGAACAACAATTGATTTGGAAAATCTGTGATTTCTGTCTTCATTGTTCTTGAATATGTTGAATTCCTGTGATTTCAGACTGTTATGACAAAATCCACAGGTGATACACATAGGTCAGAGGTCAGCTTCCAGACATACGGAGCACGCTCAGGAAAGGAACGCAGTGGTGCTTACTTGTTTATACCTGATGGACCAGCAAAGGTATGAGCAGTATACAACATCACAGATTAAAGTTTCAAAATGTTAATTTTACTCGCAAATATTTGCTGCCACAAACTAATTATTTCATTGTGTGTATATGTAATTTTTTCCTTATATAGTTACAAAAATTGATAGCTGTGGATAGATTTCAAACTGAAAAACACCAAAAAAAGTTGTCATGAATAATAGTTGATATACAGTAGATCCGTTGTGTTGATTGGTGCGAGTCTTCCATATTCACTGTGATTCAGAAATATGTAGAAATTGAGCCTATTCTCAGATGTCTTAATAGGATTTAAGTAGAACATGAGTTGTTTACTTCCCCTGTTTTTCAGCCTCTCAGAGTCAGACTTATGATTTATGTAGAACATGAATTGTTTACTTCTGCCATTTTTCAGCCTCTCAGAGTGAGTCATCCAGTGATAAGAGTTGTGCGTGGTCCGATCGTGTCAGAGGTGTCTGTCTTCATCAACCACGTCCAACATGTGGTCAGACTCCACAACACCACAGGTAATTATTTCATACAACATGTGGTCAGACTCCACAACACCACAGGTAATTATTTCAAGAACTTTGCAATTTAGCTCTTTAGGTCACCTGAGTCACTCAGGTGACCTATTGCTATCCGTTCTCGTCCGTCGGCGTGCGTCGTGTGTTAACATTTGAACATTTTTAGCTTCTTCTCTGAAACCGCTTAACCAATTTCAACCAAATTTGGCATATAGCATCTATGGGTGAAGGGGAACAAAAATTGTGAAATTCATGGTCCCTGCCCCCCTGGGGCCTGAGGGGTGGGGCTAAAACCACCAAAAATAATGCAATCTTTAAAAATCTTCTTCTTTACTCCAGGACATCAAGCAGTCAAACTGTTGGCATCATTGTAATAAGCAGTGAGCCCTCTACCAAAATTGTGAAATTCATAGCCCCAGGGTCAGGGGTTCTGGCCCCAGGGTGGGGCTATATAGATCATATAGTGAAAGTGCATTATTTCTTTGAAAATCTTCTTCTCTGCTCCTGGGTATTAAATAAAGTAACTAAGTACATAGTTATGAAGAGCAAGAGTGCCTCTTCCAAAATTGTGAAATTCATGGCCCCAGGGTCAGGGGTTCTGGTGTTAGGGTCGGGCTCTATTGATTATATAGTGAAAATGCATTAATTCTTTGAAAATCTTCTTCTCTGCTCCTGGGCATTAAATAAAGTTACTAAGTACATAGTTATGATGAGCAAGAGTGCCTCTTCCGAAATTGTGAAATTCATGGCCCCTGGGTCAGGGGTTCTGGCCCCAGGGTGGGGCTATATAGATCATATAGTGAAAGTGCATTATTTCTTTGAAAATCTTCTTCTCTGCTCCTGGGTAATAAATAAAGTAACTAAGTACATAGTTATGATGAGCAGGAGTGCCTCTTCCGAAATTGTGAAATTCACGGCCCCAGGGTCAGGGGTTCTGGTGTTAGGGTGGGGCTCTATTGATTATATAGTGAAAATGCATTAATTCTTTGAAAATCTTCTTCTGTGCTCCTGGGTATTAAATAAAGTAACTAAGTACATAGTTATGATGAGCAAGAGTGCCTCTTCAAAAATTGTGAAATTCATGGCCCCTGGGTCAGGGGTTCTGGTCCCAGGGTGGGGCTATGTAGATCATATAGTGAAAGTGCATTATTTCTTTGAAAATCTTCTTCTCTGCTCCTGGGTATTAAATAAAGTAACTAAGTACATAGTTATAAATAGCAAGAGTGCCTCTTCTAAAATTGTGAAATTCATGGCCCCAGGGTCAGGGGTTCTAGTGTTAGGGCGGGGCTCTATTGATTATATAGTGAAAGTGCATTAATTCTTTGAAAATCTTCTTCTCTGCTCCTGGGCATTAAATAAAGTAACTAAGTACATAGTTATGATGAGCAAGAGTGCCTCTTCCGAAATTGTGAAATTCATGGCCCCTGGGTCAGGGGTTCTGGCCCCAGGGTGGGGCTATATAGATCATATAGTGAAAGTGCATTATTTCTTTGAAAATCTTCTTCTCTGCTCCTGGGTATTAAATAAAGTAACTAAGTACATAGTTATGAAGAGCAAGAGTGCCTCTTCCAAAATTGTGAAATTCACGGCCCCAGGGTCAGGGGTTCTGGTGTTAGGGTGGGGCTCTATTGATTATATAGTGAAAATGCATTAATTCTTTGAAGATCTTCTTCTGTGCTCCTGGGTATTAAATAAAGTAACTAAGTACATAGTTATGATGAGCAAGAGTGCCTCTTCAAAAATTGTGAAATTCATGGCCCCTGGGTCAGGGGTTCTGGCCCCAGGGTGGGGCTATGTAGATCATATAGTGAAAGTGCATTATTTCTTTGAAAATCTTCTTCTCTGCTCCTGGGTATTAAATAAAGTAACTAAGTACATAGTTATAAATAGCAAGAGTGCCTCTTCTAAAATTGTGAAATTCAAGGCCCCAGGGTCAGGGGTTCTGGTGTTAGGGTGGGGCTCTATTGATTATATAGTGAAAATGCATTAATTCTTTGAAAATCTTCTTCTGTGCTCCTGGATATTAAATAAAGTAACTAAGTACATAGTTATGTTGAGCAGGAGTGCCTTTTCTGAAATTGTGAAATTCATGGCCCCTGGGTCAGGGGTTCTGGCCCCAGGGTGGGGCTATATAGATCATATAGTGAAAGTGCATTAATTCTTTGAAAATCCTCTTCTCTGCTCCTGGGTATTTAATAAAGTACCTAAGTATATAGTTATGAAGAGCAAGAGTGCCTGTTCCAAAATTGTGAAATTCATGGTCCCAGGGTCAGGGGTTCTGGTGTAAGGGCAGGGCTCTATTGATTATATAATGAAAATGCATTATTTCTTTGAAAATCTTCTTCTCTGCTCCTGGGTATTAAATAAAGTAACTAAGTACATAGTTATGATGAGCAAGAGTGCTTCTACAAAAATTGTGAAATTCATGGCCCCAGGGTCAGGGGTTCTAGTGTTAGGGCGGGGCTCTATTGATTATCTATTGAAAATGCATTACTTCTTTGAAAATCTTCTTCTCTGCTCCTGGGTATTAAATAAAGTAACTAAGTACAGAGTTATGATGAGCAAAAGTGCCTTTTCGAAAATTTTGAATTTCATGGCCCCAGGGTCAGGGATTCTGGTGTTAGGGCGGGGCTCTATTGATTATATAGTGAAAATGCATTGATTCTTTGAAAATCGTCTTCTCTGCTACTGGAGATTATTTAAACAAACTAAGTGCATGGTTATGATGCATAAAGATGCCTTTTCAAAAATTGTGAATTTCATGGCCCCAGGGACAGGGGTTCTGGTGTTAGGACGGGACTCTATTGATTATATAGTGAAAATGCATTGATTCTTTGAAAATCTTCTTCTCTGCTACTGGAGATTATTTAAACAAACTAAGTGCATGATTATGATAGGCAAGGATGCCTCTTCCAAAATTTTCAAATATATGGCCTCAGTTTTTGGGGTTCTTGAGGAAGGAGGGGGGGGGGGGGCTCTATTGATTATATAGTGAAAAAGTGTTAATTCTTTGAAGTCCATAGGTATGATGATGAGGGTAACTCTTCCAAATTTGTAAATTTCTTGACCCTTGGTCTTGGGTTCTGGTGTTAGGGTAAGGCTTTGTTGAATCTGTAGTGAAAATGCATTGTACCTGTGAAATTCTTCTCTGCTTCTGGGCATATTGGAAGAAAACTGAGTAAAAGTTTAAATGATATAAGTAAGCGTATTTCTACCAGACTTTTGAACATCTGGACCATTTGTCTAAGCATTCTAGTCCTGGGCAGGGCACAATTAATTTGTATTCTACTGAGAGAAGTTATTCCCCTTTTCCATTCACCTTTGATAATTAATCACTGTAAATAATGTATTTGAAAGGTTAATAGAATAAGATAATTATGCAAGAATGTTTATCATATAATTCAAAAAGTATTTTCTTAGTTTTAATAATCAGGTTGACCTGTAAGTAATAGATAAATAAAAATGAGACAAAAATAACTTATCTTATTAAAAGTTCTTCAAAGACCGTAAGAGAGGTCAATGCTAGAGCTCTTAATATGGGTTTAAAAATAGTACTGAAGCACTAATAGAACTTAATTTATGAGTTGATACTGAATACTAGACTAATTATTTTGTTGATCCTGATCTTCCTACTTCTCTTGCTTTAGGGCAACAAAGCTTCATCTATTAGTGTATTTAACTTCCAAATTGTTGTATTATGCTCAGGTGACCGTTAAGGCCCTTGGGCCTCTTGTTTAATATATTCTTCTATGTTAATATACACAACACCATGAGGTTCCCTCCATTTAATATAAATGAAAACTAACTCCCCAAACTGAAGAGTTACATAAACCCAAAGGAAGAGTTGAACTTTGCATATAATTAACACTCTGTAGGCCTTGATGGTAGAAGTTTGGATGTGTTTAATCTGGTGGACATTAGAAATGAAGTGAACTACGAGCTGTCTATGAAGATTATCACCGACGTCCAGAACTCCAAACAGGAAGTGTACACGGACCTCAACGGCTTCCAGGTAAACAGTGGCATTTAACCAGATATATAAATGTAATGATTGGGGTAATATTTTCTATGTGTTAAGATTGTTTTGTCTTATCATCAGGAAAAGTGTTCCATATGAGTCAATGCAGATCTGTTATTATTATTCAGGCCTCTAGGAAGCAATTTCAGTTTGGGGAGGGAGGAGGGGCCACAACCAAAATTTTGTATGGATGGGCACTACTAGGCAAAAAATCCTTGACAAACGTAAAAAAAAAATATGATCAATAAGGTGACTTTTATATAAGGTAGCTTTGTTTCTATAGAATACCAAATATCAGTAAAATTTGGGGGATGGCGGGTTACAGCCCCCTCTTGCCTTCCCTTCATCCTGTGGCCATGTTATTTTTGACTTTGTATGTTTTTGTCCTTTTTCTTATTGAGAAAAGAGATTAAGCATTTTATCATGTTAAATTATGGTGTTATTAAAGACATGGGGAAAGGACTAAATCAATTATTGGGACTTTTCTCCAATCCTGTATAATCATAATTGTCAATGAAATATGTCAAAAATGAATAAATTTTACTTTGTGTACCAATAGATGATCAAACGTAAGACGTTTGATAAACTTCCAATACAAGCCAATGTCTACCCGATGCCGGCCAGCGCTTTTATAGAGGATGATAAAACTCGCTTCAGTGTCCTCACAGCACAGTCTCTAGGTGTCGCCAGTCTACACAAAGGTATGACATCATCTCTAATTAGTGTTATATAACAGTACAGAGAGGTGTGTCATCATCTCTGATTAGTGTTATATAACAGTACAGAGAGGTGTGACATCATCTCTAATTAGTGTTATATAACAGTACAGAGAGGTGTGTCATCATCTCTAATTAGTGTTATATAACAGTACAGAGAGGTGTGACATCATCTCTAATTAGTGTTATATAACAGTACAGAGAGGTGTGTCATCATCTCTGATTAGTGTTCTATAACAGTACAGAGAGGTGTGACATTATCTCTACATGTTATCTCTGTCACAAGGTGTCAGTTGTATACATTACAGGACCTGCTTCAGTATCTTCACAAAACAGTCAGTCACTTGGTACAGAATTGACAGAAATAATGTTATACACAATTATTGTTTGTCATAAGTGTCCATTCAGTCTTTATAAAAAATTTCAAACAAATATAAAGTTGAACTTTATCATCTCAGACATAAGTATGTTGAATGTCGATGCTACATGAAGTTACACTTTATTTATTATTTATTTACCTTGAATCTTAGGATGTGTTGAAGTTTTTTTCATCGTCCCATCAAGTTTGAGATTAGGATGTTTGACTGTACCAAAAGCTTGTATTAACATGGATTTTTTACACTGAATATGGTACAATCATTGTGTACAGACAGGCTACAAACATTTGTCCTGGATTTCCTCAGAAGAAAACAGTTGTGTAATGTAAACATGAGTTCTTTATTTATTGCAGGTGAGATCCAGGTGATGTTGGACCGGACGCTGAACCAGGATGACATGAGGGGTATGGGACAGGGGGTCAGGGACAATAAACCAACCCCCAACAGATTTAGAATCTTGATTGAGCAACGAAGCTCCCCTCCTGTAAGTAAATAAAGAGCCTATTCTGTACTGAATATAACAATCTGCTATATTGCTTATTATGTTGACTATTTATAGTCCTCCTCTGTATTTTCAATTGTTCTGAATGCTGTATAATTTGGAATGTTTATGTAACCAGTGATAACTGGATTTTACAAGCTTTACTTTACAACGTTATGGTAAGAACTACATGTATACACAGATAATGAAATATGTGGAGATAATGAACAATATTCAAGCTCAAAAGACCATTAAACAATACAAAATAGGAGCAGAGCAAACACGGACCTCCAAAACATCAGAGGTGGGATCAGGTGCCATGGAGGAGTGAGCATCCCCTGCCGACCGGTCACACCTGCCGTGTGCTCCTTGTCATAATCGGGAAATACATGTAACGGAAAAATCCGTTGACAATTCCGTGTGTAAATGTGATGGTGCAGTCCAGCATTGTTGATGTCTATATATTGAACTGTTTTGTTTTGTAACAGGTGAAAGATAAACTAACAGGATTTCCATCTTTAGAAGCTCACCTGAGTTATCTACAACTAGTCCACAAAATCAACATACTTCCCCAGAAGTCCTCAGTGAGCATGCCGCCATTGCTATCCCAGCATTCCTTCCTATCCGTGCCTTTACCTTGTGACGTACACTTACTAAACCTACGCTCACTACAGAAGAGTTACGATGGACCAATCACACGAGGCGATGACTCAGCCCTGCTGCTACACAGAGTAGGAGTGGATTGTGGGATACCTAACACAGATTTACAGTGTACCTATACACAGGGCAGGGTAAGTAACACAGAGTAGGAGGGGATTGTGGGATACCTGACAAAGAGTAGGAGTGGATTGTGGGATACCTAACACAGATTTACAGTGTCCTATACACAGGGCAGGGTAAGTAACACAGAGTAGGAGGGGATTGTGGGATACCTAAAACAGAGTAGGAGGGGATTGTGGGATACCTAACACAGATTTACAGTGTACCTATACACAGGGCAGGGTAATTAACACAGAGTAGGAGGGGATTGTGGGATACCTAAAACAGAGTAGGAGTGGATTGTGGGATACCTAACACAGATTTACAGTGTACCTATACACAGGGCAGGGTAAGTAAAAGAGAGTAGGAGGGGATTGTGGGATACCTAACACAGAGTAGAGGGGATTGTGGGATACCTAACACAGAGTAAAGGGGATTGTGGGATACCTAACACAGAGTAGAGGGGATTGTGGGATACCTAACACAGAGTAGGAGGGGATTGTGGGATACCTAACACAGAGTAGGAGGGGATTGTGGGATACCTAACACAGAGTAGGAGGGGATTGTGGGATACCTAACACAGATTTACAGTGTTTCTATACACAGGGCAGGGTAACAGAGAGTAGTAGGGGATTGTGGGATACCTAACACAGAGTAGAGGGGATTGTGGGATACCTAAAACAGAGTAGGAGGGGATTGTGGGATACCTAACACAGATTTATAGTGTCCTATACACAGGGCAGGGTAAGTAAAAGAGAGTAGGAGGGGATTGTGGGATACCTGACACAGAGTAGGAGTGGATTGTGGGATACCTAACACAGAGTAGGAGGGGATTGTGGGATACCTAACACAGAGTAGAGGGGATTGTGGGATACCTGACAGAGAGTAGGAGGGGATTGTGGGATACCTAACACAGATTTACAGTATTCCTATACACAGGGCAGGATAAGTAACACAGAGTAAGAGGGGATTGTGGGATACCTAACACAGATTTGGAGGGGATTGTGGGATACCTAACACAGAGTAGGAGTGGATTGTGGGATACCTAACACAGATTTACAGTGTTCCTATACACAGGGCAGGATAAGTAACACAGAGTAAGAGGGGATTGTGGGATACCTAACACAGATTTGGAGGGGATTGTGGGATACCTAACACAGAGTAGAGGGGATTGTGGGATACCTAACACAGAGTAGGAGGGGATTGTGGGATACCTAACACAGAGTAGGAGGGGATTGTGGGATACCTACCACAGATTTACAGTGTTCTATACACAGGGCAAGGTAAGTAAGACAGTGTAGGAGGGGATTGTGGGATACCTAACACAGAGTAGGAGGGGATTGTGGGATACCTAACACAGATTTACAGTGTTCCTATACACAGGGCAGGGTAAGTAAATCAGGTCTTCAATTCTATTATATGTTGACCAGGGGCAGTATCTTATGAATACAATGTTTTCATATCTGGGGTAGCTTAGGATCCAAGGTTCAGTTAGCTGTGTGAGATAAAATTAGGACTTTTTTACTCTTTGTCTGATCCTTATTGAAATCAAGCAATTTCTTCCAAAGTAAACTCAATCATTTAGTTGCATTAGTGAAATGAGTGTCCTATGATTTGGAAGATGGACAAAATAATATCTGTTTTAAAGACCTTCTAATGCAATACAATGCAACACTTAGTTTGTATATTATTATTAAAGTGATTAAAGCAGAAAAAAAGATTGAATGTGAAGGCTTGCTTTAGATTCTATCCTCATCTAAGAAGAGAATTCCTCTTTGTACTCTTAGTGCTAATAATTTTCCTTTTGAGTACACTCAGTACTTTGATACATTTCCTTTTAGGTCCGTTTACGAGAATTGTTCAGTGATGCTTTGGGAGTTAGAGAGATCCGGCGGATGTCCTTGACATTGCTCCATGATAAAGGTCCCACATCACTGGACAGTGACCTGACCTTGGACCCAATGGAAATCTACAGTTTCAAGGTCAAGTGGTGATGGATCTAATACTTCCTGGATAATGCAAGACCCCATGGTGATCATATTTTGTGATAAAAATTAAAACCTCTAATGAAGTAAACTGTGTAGAATGTGAATCTTCTTTAAAGATTTATATTGAACTAACTGTCTGAGGTGTGAAACCCTCCTTAAAGGTCTTAAGGAAATGCTGCTGATTCACGTGTATCAGAATGGATGTAGAAGTTTGTACTCAAGAACGAAAGATGAAAATAATGTTTAATTTTTAATGGCGAGTTCTAAAAGATGCAAGACTTGGGTATAGTGCAATGAAGATATCAATAATTAAGGTATTGAGAGTTAAGATATTGTTAATTAAGATATTGGTAATTAAGGGTTATGCATATCATCCGGTAACTGTTCGTTATCTCCATATATTTCATACATTTGTTATGATCATAAGTCATCGAAAAAGGGAATGAGAGTGGTTTGATTTGGTGAAAACTGAAATACTTGTGTATTAGATTGCTTATCGTAATTAAAATACTTCTTTTGTCAGTCCAACTAATAGTCATCCAAAAAACATGAAATTATTTAAATATACATGCATGATTTAACTTTCTATGAATTCCATATACATGTACTGTAAGTCATTATCATGTGTGAAAATTATTTGAGAGTTTTGCAACCTTCTTTTTCTTGTGAATGTTTCTTGTGCAATATACTAAGCCTTAATCCAACATATCATATGTAAATTAAACCTGTTGCAAAGTATAGCTTTTTTTCTGTAATTTTTCATAAGCTGATCATTTTTCATAATTTTTGAAATACTTATAAAAAGCTTGGTTGCTGTTTGATCATCACATTTTACAATAAAACCTGTCTAATCCGACATGCACTGGGAGACAAATTTTTTGTTGGAATAGACAGGATTGCACAGAATAAAGAACGCAGAAATGGGAATTTAAATAAGGGTCCGGATTCACAGTTAAATGGATTCTACAAGTGTTGGATTAAACAGTTTTCACTGTATATAGTTTGAAACATTGATATTTTCTGAATTACTTAGACAGCTAATTATCTGTAATAATTACCGAGACAGCTAATTGTATGTTTTATTGTCTTATTTCTCAAGGATGATTAACGGAATTTTGTATGTGTGATTGTTGAAGTTATTGATGGTCATGAATTATGAAAAATATTGTTGGTGTATATTTATTGCTTACAGATACCAGAAGTCATGATTATGATTTTTGAATACACTTTATTTATTGTAGAGCTTGTAAAGTTTTCAGACATTGTGATGTAAATACTTACGCTCTTTAGGATCAATGTGTGCAAGATGTGTATTATCAGATTCTAACATTCCATAATTGAACAGAATTTGAAGATTTTATGGTGATAATATCCACTTGATTTCGGTCACTTCATAAGTGGCACTCGGTGAATTATAAGGTATTTTGTATGAATGCCGCACTGAATGGGAGAATATGTAAGTACATAAATAATGAAACTCCTCAACAAAAGCATCTGTCTTTTAAATCTGTATGTTGTATTAAATATTTGTTGTTTGTTTTTAAATGACATTTGCTGATGTTCAATATATTTATCATAAAATTGTACATTGTATCATACATAGATGATTATCGATCACTAATTCACAACATGCATTTTATCACATCTTTATATGCTATGGATATCAGTCGTTGGATATTTTTTTCATATATCACTGCTATGATGTCACAATGGTTTTGGCAAGAAAGTGATAAAGTAAAATAATGTGAATTCATTTATAAAAACTGTGTAAAACATTGATAGTGATGTATAAAACATGTGATAAAAAGAATATCCCATGATTTGTGGTTGGATATGATTTTTATCCAACTCGTTTTGGGTTTTGATCCTCTCGCCTAGGCTCAGGAATAAAAAAAAAAACTCGTCGGATAAAAATCATATTCCACCACAAATCATGGGAGATCCTTTAGTTACTCGATCATTATAATGTTTGTGTACTTGTGTATATTAATCATATTAATGAATGCATGTGTGCGAGGGTGTACATCCCGTTGGTCGTGTGTGTGTGTGTGTGTTTGTGTTATTACTATAACTGGCATTTCATTGCTCAATGATTTTCATTTCTATTTATGATTTCACAATAAACTGAATATTTTATGAATCAGTTAACATACATTGGTCTTCCCTTTGACTGACATTAAAATTAATTAATTAAATGAGAAAAGAAGGCTCAGAAATGGACTCTTGCTTGTAAAGCAGCTTAAACAGGTTGGGGGGAAACGTAAATTTCCGCTATAATAGTGGTATATCACTATTATAGTGAAATTCCGCTATATTTTCAGACCTATTGACCCTCGATTTCATCAAATAACATGCTTGCTGTTTAAAGCGCAAGTCATAGTGGGTATAAAAATGGACACTAATTGGCACCCTTACATTTTATGAATTTTATTTAATTTTCTGCCGATGCGTTTAATAATGCGAACACACTTTTTAAAACGGAAGTTACATTTTTAACATAGCAAACAGTGATTCAGTAGTATTCAAGAAAGACTGAATCTCAATTTCTCTCACACATTTGCACAAATCAATGCTTGTAATAACTTTCAAGCAGCATTGAAAGAGGTTTGTCCAATTTACAGAAGAAAGGATGATTTGTGTCTGCATGGTAACGGGTATGGAGGCCCGTTGTGACAAGTGAAAAAAACTCATTACATGTATACTTTATTCTGATGGAACCGATTTATATAAATCGTAAACAATCTGTTAGATGTCATTTCTACAGGTAATTCCAAGTATAATGTTTCTTTTCTTGATGATGAAACCAGAAGTTCAAACGATTAGTCTTATTCGGAAAAGACAATTTTTTTCTTGCATGGGATTACTTGTAGAAGTGACATTTAACAGGTATAAATTTTGCACGATTTATTTATTGTCTAAATTGCTTGAAATTTTTACTACATTCTGTACTGAAAAAAGGCTATGAAATCTTAATTAAAATTATGCAAGAATTAGATTATTTCTGCAACAAGAAATGAAATAAAAGGAGAAAAACTTTGTAATTTGAAAATTTAAACAAGTATTTTCAATGAAATATGAAGATATAGTACAGTAATCAAGCTCAAAAGGCGATTGATAAAATATAAATTTTGAGCAGAGCAAACACGAACCTATGAAATCAGCAGCCATGGAGGGATAAGCCCCCCCCCCCCCCCCATCGACCGGTCACACCCGCCTTGTGCTGTTGGTCGTGATCGTATAAAGGGAAAAATCCATAGTCAATTCAAGATGAAAATTTCGCATGAAAGACGTCAGTCAACATTCGACCCAACTTGACAGATTGTATTTGAATATAAGGTCATAGTATTGACCATGGCATTTGCGAAGTGTTGACTTCAAAGGAGATTTCGGAATACCCTTATTTCATTATTTCATTTCATGGCTGTAGGAACCGGGGGGCACGATGGCGTGCCCCCCCCCCCCCCAAATAATTTTGCCAATATATAGAATACTATAGAAAGGATAGGTACTATATGATTGTGCCCCCTCAAAAATAACGTCTAATGACTTTTTTAGGTCACCTGAGTCACTCAGGTGACCTATTGCTATCCATTTTTGTCCGCCGTCGTGCGTTAACTTTTGAACATTTTCAGCTTCTCTGAAACCGCTCAACCAATTTCAACCAAATTTGGCATATAGCATCTATGGGTGCTATGGGTGAAGGGGGATAAAATTTGTGAATTTCAGGGTCCCTGCCTCCCCGGGGCCTGAGGGGTGGGGCAAAAACCACTAAAATTAATGCAATCTTTAAAAATCTTCTTCTTTACTCCTGGACATCAAGCAGTCAAACTGTTGGCATGATTGTAATAAGCATTGAGCCCTCTACCAAAATTGTGAAATTCATGGCCTCAGGGTTAGGGTTCTGGGGCTAGGGTGGGGCTATATAGATCATATAGTAAAAGTGCATTATTTCTTTGAAAATCTTCTTCTCTGCTCCTGTGTATGAAATAAACTAACTAAGTACATAGTTATGATAAGCAAGAATGCCTCTTCCAAAATTGTGAATTTCATGGCCCCTGGGTTAGGGGTTCTGGTGAAAGGTGGGGGGGGGACTCTATTGATTATATAGTGAAAATGCATTATTTCTTTGAAAATCTTCTTTGCTCTTGGGTATCAAATAAAGTAACTAAGTACATAGTTATGATGAGCAAGAGTGCCTCTTCCAAAATTGTGAATTTCATGGCCCCAGGGTCAGGGGTTCTGGTGTTAGGGCGGGGCTCTATTGATTATTTAGTGAAAATGCATCAATTCTTTGAAAATCTTCTCTGCTCCTGGGTATTGTTTAAACAAAGGAGGTGCATGGTTATGATAAGCAAAAATGCCTCTTCCAAATTTGTGAAATTCATGGCCCCAGGGTCAGGTTGATGGCCCCAGGGTCAGGGGTTCTTGTGAAAGGGGGGGGGCTCTACTGATTATATAGTGAAAATTCATAATTTCTTTCAAAATATTTTTTCTACTCCTGGTTATAAAGCAAAGAAACAAGTGTATAATTATGATGAGCAAGGATGCTTTTATAAAATTTTTAAAACTTGTGGTCCCAGGGGTTCTGTTGTTTCTCTGAGGGAGGGGGGGGGGCTCTATTGATTATATAGTGAAAATGCGTGAATTCTTTGAAAATCTTCAACTAATTGCATAGTTATGATGATGAGGGTACCTCTTCTAAATTTGTAAATTTCATGACCCTGGGTCATGCGTTCTAGGGCTGTGTTAAATAGTAAAAATGCATTATTTCTTTGAAAATCTTCTCTACTCCTGGGCATATTGGAGGCAAACAGAGTAAAAGTTTTAATAAGCAAGGGTATTTTTACCAGAATTTTAAACATCTGGACCATTTGGTCAAGTGTTCTGGTCCTGGTCAGGGCTCTATTAATTTGTATTCTACTGAGTGAAGTTATTCCCCTTTGCCATTCACCTTTGATAATTAATCACTGTAGATAATGTATTTGAAAGGTTGATAGAATAAGAGAATTATGCAAGAACATTGATTGTATAATACAAAAAATACTTTCCTAGTTTTAATGATCAGGTAGACTTGGAAATAATAGATGAATAAAAATGAAACAAAAATAACTTATCTTTTTAAATGTTCTTCAAAGGCCAAGTGAGGCCAGTTTGAGAGGTTATAATATGGGGTTAAAAAAAGTCTGCATGGTAATAGTGATAAATGGGGGACAGATAGATAGATACTAGACCAATTATTTTGTTGATCTTAATCGTACTATTTTTCTTGCTTTTGAAAAAAAAGCTTCATTTTTTCAGTTTATAGATCCTCTAAATTGTTGTACTCAGGTGACCGTTAAGGCCCTTGGGCCTCTTGTTTTTGCTTGTCAAGGAAGTTTTACAAGTTGATAATGCCCCCCCCCCCCCAAGTGAAATTGCTTCCTATGGGCCTGTGTGCATATTTCGGTATTCAAATCTTCAGACGAATTGCTGTTAGAAAGTTCGCAAGATTAGCTAAAAGATTAGCTAATTTAATGTTAAATCAAGCGATTCGCCAATTGATGTGTTAAATAAAAGAGTTCAACAGTTACCAAACGGCTGAAATTCTTTTCGCAGCAGCGGCCGGTCTATTTGTGGTGGAAAGGTACATGGGAAAATGAGAAGTTATTTTTAGCTCTACTGGTCAGAGACCAGAAGAGCTTATGCGATAGTAAGGTGTCCGTCGTCCGTCCGTCTTTCTGTCTGTCTGTCTGTCTGTCCGTCTGTCTGTAAACAATTTTTTCAAAATGCTACTCCTCCTACAGTTTTGGTCTGATTTTGATATAACTTGGCACACAAGTAGACTGCACTAGGATACATAATTTAGTGCATCGGTTTTTGATTTTGATGAACGGTGTTGCCATGGTTACTAAAAATAGAATTTTCTGTGAAATTCCTTTAAAACGCTACTCCTCCTTCAGTTTTGGTCTGATTTCAATATAACTTGGCACACAAGTAGACTACACTAGGATACATAAATTAGTGCATCGGTTTTTGATTTTGATGAACGGTGTTGCCATGGTTACTAAAAATAAAATTTTCTGTGAAATTCCTTTAAAACGCTACTCCTCCTACAGTTTTGGTCTGATTTCAATATAACTTGGCACACAAGTAGACTGCACTAGGATACATAATTTAGTGCATCGGTTTTTGATTTTGATTAACGGTGTTGCCATGGTTACTAAAAATAGAATTTTCTGTGTAATTCCTTTAAAATGCTACTCCTCCTACAGTTTTGGTCTGATTTCAATATAACTTGGCACACGAGTAGACTGCACTAGGATACATAATTTAGTGCATCGGTTTTTGATTTTTTTGAACGGTGTTGCCATGGTTACTAAAAATAGAATTTTCTGTGTAATTCCTTTAAAATGCTACTCCTCCTTCAGTTTTGGTCTGATTTCATTATAACTTGGCACACAAGTAGACTACACTAGGATGCATAATTTAGTGCATCGGTTTTAGATTTTGATGAACGGTGTTGCCATGGTTACTAAAAATAGAATTTTCTGTGAAATTCCTTTAAAATGCTACTCCTCCTACAGTTTTGGTCTGATTTCAATATAACTTGGCGCACAAGTAGACTACACTAAGATACATGATTTAGTGCATTTGATTCTGATTTTGATGAATGGTGTTGCCATGGTTACAAAAAATAAAAAATTATGTGAAATACTTTTAAAACCCTTCTCCTCCCACAGTAATTATATGATTTTATTAAAAATTTATACACAAGGAAATGAACTTAATGCTACTTTTCAATTTTTATTTCGATAAATGGTGGTGTCCTACTAACAAAAGTATTATTATAAGTGTGAAATTTGTTTAAAGTGCTACTTCTCTTAAAGGTCTGATCTGATTTGAATAAGACTTCTAACATAAGTAAACAAAATATAATAAGTTGAAATATTACGTATCTCTAAATTTTTTTCAATTATGAATCCAATTGTCGTGAAACCTTTAAAATTTAACGATAAATGAAATTTAGTCGGGTTCGATGTTCACAAAAATTTGCATACAGTCGCCATATTGTACGATAATCAGCGTGGTCAGAAGTTGCAGGTTTCATTTACTCTCTTTTAGAAATTTGAGGGATATAAACAGTCTTTGATAATACGTTCTCTTGTGCTATTA